CAAATTCCCAACCAAAACACAGTAAATGCACATATAAATAACATGTTACCCAACACAGATTACATTAGATGGTAAACTGCATTTAAAATAATTTTTGGTGACCAAACAGTTAACATGGCTGTTGACCAATGACTGCCTTTAATGCAATAACATGGTCTCACAAGACGTGAGACACTCACACCTCACACTGTCAGTACGCCTACACATGATTTTGACGTGTGTTGAATTTGGAATGTAACTTGAAACTTTTATCACACATTTTATTAAAAGTTTATACTACATTTTGGGGATTCAAATACTAATTTTTCCATATAAATATCAGCTGGAAATGACAGCATTTAGAGATTCATAGATTCTATAGTTTAGGGTGTCAAAAGCTAATAAGCAAAAACTAGCAATCACAAAAAATCCTAATAAGCAGTCTACAAGAAAACATCAACCAGGAAGATACTCTGAGGGGTCCTCCTGTACAAGGCTTTATAGATAGGGTCTTTTACAGTATGGTCTGCTTTGTTCCCCCTCCTTTGTTTAAATGTTAAATGTTAAATTTTAATTATTTCATGTATTCTAAGCACACCTCCTCTTTTCTAATGTGTCTTTTGGTAGGTATGAAAGATATGTTTTTGTTCTGAGAGTTACTATAACTATTATAGCAAACATATCATAACTAATAATATATTTTAAAGGGGACTAAGGGTATTATATAAGGATATATTCTGTATAATATATGTGTATATTATATAAGAATATATATAATAGGCACAATCTATACATATATAACAGGCATAATATATACATATTTAATGCTATATATTATGTGTTGTATGTGTTATATATTATGTATATATACATATATGTGTACATAATACATATATGTATTATGCCTATAAGATATACATATATAACATATACATATATAATATATAATATATCCTTATATAATACCCTTAGTCCACTTTTAAAGATATTGTATGTATATATGTACTTATATAATTTATATGTATAACAGACATGTAATTATACACATATACATATATGCACATATACACATATACACATATTACCTATATTTTACATTACACACATATATAGTACACATATATGTATATATTATATATAATACCCTTAGTCACCTTTTAAAGATATGAATTATATTAACTGAGCCTATAATACCCTTAGTTTCTTTTTTAGACATTATGTATAATAAGCAGTAATGAAGTTAGCTAGGCGTTCTCTTCCTCCCAGCATCTAATTTAAAGTGCCTTCCTTACTGGCAGCTTGTCTGGCATACTTTCCTCAGTTGGCATATACTTTTCCATGTGCTTTCTCTCATCCATGTTTTTGTACGATATTGCCAGTGCATAATAGTGGCATACACTTCTGTCTCCTTTATCTCTCATCATTAATCTTTGTTCTACAATTTGATATATTCACCTTTGCCAGTGACATTTTGGTTTCTGAAGCTCATTCTCTGGGTGATTCCTCAAGGTCTCATGTAATTGGCCGGGTGCCTGTAATCCCAGCACTTTGGAAGGCTTAGGTGGGTGGATCACAAAGTCAGGAGTTTGAGACAAGCCTGACCAACATGGTGAAACCCCATCTCTACTAAAAATATAAAAATTAGCCAGGCGTGGTGGCACATGCCTATAATCTCAGCTACTTAGGAGGCTGACGCAGGAGAATCGCTTGAACCCAGGAGGCAGAGGTTACAGTGAGCCAAGGTTGCGCCACTGCACTCCAGCCTGGATGACAGAGTGAGACTCCGTCTTTTTAAAAAAAAAAAAGGCCTGGCGCGGTGGCTCAAGCCTGTCATCCCAGCACTTTGGGAGGCCGAGACGGGCGGATCACGAGGTCAGGAGATTGAGACCATCCTGGCTAACACGGTGAAACCCCGTCTCTACTAAAAAATACAAAAAACTAGCTGGGCGAGGTGGCGGGCGCCTGTAGTCCCAGCTACTCGGGAGGCTGAGGCAGCAGAATGGCATAAACCCAGGAGGCGGAGCTTGCAGTGAGCTGAGATCCGGCCACTGGCGGCCACTGCACTCCAGCCCGGGTGACAGAGCAAGACTCCATCTCAAAAAAAAAAAAAGTCTTGTGTAAGGATATTTGCCTTGAGTTCTTTCATACTGGTGACTGTAGACTTTATTCTGCAAGATCAGTTTGGCTGGGTATAAAAATTTTGGCTTGGCCACGCATGGTGGCTCAAGCCTGTAATCCCACCACTTTGGGAGGCCGAGACGGGCAGATCACGAGGTCAGGAGATCAAGACCATCCTGGCTAACATGGTGAAACCCCGTCTCTACTAAAATATACAAAAAACTAGCCAGGTGAGGTGGCGGGCGCCTGTAGTCCCAGCTACTCAGGAGGCTGAGGCAGGAGAATGGCATAAACCTGGGAGGCAGAGCTTGCAGTGAGCTGAGATCGCGCCACTGCACTCCAGCCTGGGCAACAGAGCGAGACTCCATCTCAAAAAAAAAAAAAAAAAAAAATTTGGCTTACATTTTCCTCCTTTGAGTAGTTTAAATATGTTGCTCCACTCTCTTGTGGCATGAAGTGTTGGTGATGAAAAGTTTGAGGCCAGAATTATTTGCTTTCCTTTATAAGTGAATTGCAGATGCAGGTGGGAACAGGAAAAGGGGAGTGGATGCCCAAAGCATTTTTTTAAAGCTCTGTAATTTTATCAGCATATATTTTTGCTGCCAATTTTAGCTCAAATTTTCCAGTTACATTGTATGCCTTTCAATATGTTGGTTCAAGATCCACCCTCCAGTCTTCCTTCCACCCCAGGAAACATTTCTTGAATTATAGATTTTGGGAATCTGTTACTTGGCATTTTCTTCTTCAGAGACTCCAATTATGCATGTGTTACATTCCCCACCTGCCCCACCCCTAGTTTTTTACTGTCCCCTTGTTTTCTCTCAAACCTTTTCTATTTCTGTCTGATATTTGTTTTCTTCCTTTTGGCCCTCAGTTTCCTAGCATGTTTGTTTGCTCTTATTTTTCTTTTCTTTTTTTCTTTGAGACAGGGTCCCTCTCTGTTGCCCAGGCTGGAGTGCAGTGGCACGATCTTGGCTCACTGAAGCCTTGACCTCCTGGGCTCAAGCAGTCCTCCCATCTCAGCCTCCCAAATAGCTGGGACTATAGGCATGCACCACCACACCCAGCTATTTTTTGTAGAGACAGGGTCTTGCTGTTGCCCAAGCTGGTCTTGAACTCCTGGGCTCTAGTGATCTTCCTCCCTTGGCCTCCCAAAGTACTGGGATTACAGGTGTGAGCCACCACACTCAGCCTCTGTGTTCTTTCTTTTCCTTCTTGCCCACTCTTTATTTCTGAAATGATTTTTTTCCCCTTAAAATGATGTTTTGAAGTGCTAATGGGACATGGCCTCTCTGTGGAGCCCCTTCCCAGTTGAGAGATTTGTATCCACAGGCTCCAGCTCCCTGACCCTGATATGCTTGCCACGTTCCGTGTCCTTTCTCTCCCAGCAGTTGTTTCTCTTGCTGTTGTCTTCAGTGATCCTTACCCTTCTGGAAAGGAGTTTTTGTGGGGAGTTTCTGGGATCCTCAAGGGCTTCAGCCACTGCAGCCCTGCTCCGCCACCTCCCCTAGGGGTCCTCTGATCTTCCCACTGAGAACCTCTCTCCAGGTGTGCCCTCTCTCCTGGGAACACATGGGGCTGGAGGCGAGTGGGGCATTAAGAGTCTGGAGTTGGTGATGAGACCTCATTTCCTTGATTTGTGTTGACAATGTTGGCTGAAGGGTTTTTCCTTTGGTATCCTAGAGGCTCTGTCTGTTTCTATGAGGGATTTTGTGCAGATTACAAGTCTATGCTACCGTCATGATTTTGCCTGCAATGACTTAACCAAGGTGGATCTGCCAGGCTCCAGGCAGGCTGTGCCGTGGCTCAGCTGATGGCAGACACTTGTCCATAGTCAAGACACAGGGCCAGAAAGACCACTGGACGTATCTCTGAAAACAAAGTCCTAAAGCTAAAGACATTGTCCTTGTTCTCGTCCTAGCTATTTAAGCCCTCAGCTTACCTTTTTCTTATGTCTGTTATCATAAGAATTAAATAGCAGTTTTTTTTTTTTTTTTAAAGCCCCTTAACGTAACAACAGTAAAATTCGACTTCATCCTTATTGGTATATAGATCCATGCCAGCCATGTAGGGAGTAGGGGGGAGCCCAAAACAGATGGTAGAAATAGACTCTGAGTGGTTGCTTGCACAGCAAGGGGTCTGGGCTAGAGTTCAGAAGTTCCCATCAGTCTATGAAAGGAGGCCAGGCGTGGTGGCTCACACCTGTAACCCCAGGAGTTTGGGAAGCCGATGTGGGAGGATCGCTTGAGCCCAGGAGTTTGCAACCAGCCTAGGCAACACAGTGAGACCCTGTTTCTAAAGAAAATAATAAAACAAGAAAAATCTATGAAAATATATGTGTAAGAGATATCGGAACTGGGCTGGGTGCAGTAGCTGACACCTGTAATCCCAGCACTTTGGGAGGCTAGGGGAGGCAGATCACTTGAGGTCAGGAGTTAGAGACCAGCCTGGCCAACATGGTAAAAACCCTGTCTCTACTAAAAATACAAAAATTAGCCGGGCGTGGTGGCAGATGCCTGATATCCCAGCAACTTGGGAAGCTGAAGCAGGAGAGTCGCTTGAACCTGGGAGGTGGAGGCTGCAGTTAGCCAAGAATGTGCCACTGCACTCCACCCCAGGCGACAGAGTGAGACTGTCTCAAAAAAAAAAAAAAGAGAGAGGTGGACCTCTTTGGTTACAGAGACAGGCCACAGGTATTCATGATGACTTAATAAAATGAATAATAAGGTGGCTAACTGGATCATAAACTATGCTATGAAGAGCAAACTCCACTCTAAAATATGATATTTTAAAAGAGTCAAGTCAGATTAGAACTAGAACCCATGCCCCTAGCATTTGAAAGAGTTACCTCTAATTCATTAAAAAATCCAAAGCCACTTGTGACTCTGGGGCTGCAAGCTTACCTTGATAGGCCTTTCCAGCTCTTTCCTTGTAAATCTCATCACGATGAGTCCTAGAATCGTCAGGCCATAAAAGAGCCATGCGGCAAAGCTGAAATAATTAACTAACGAGTTTATGTCACCAGGGATGATATAAATCGTTGCTATGATACCCTAATAGAAAGAAGAATGGATTCGTACGTCATTACTACAACAAAACACTGTTCTCCCGTCACAGAAGACCGAAGAAACAGTTTTTCTTGTGGAAAAAACACTTTAGCATGAAAGGAACTTCCCAGGCATTCCGTGATAGTTCGGGTTAAACCTGACTTTGGCTATGATAGCTCTTCTCCACGAAGCCTGCAGAAAAGACCTGGGAAATTTCTGAATCTTTGAAGTTGCAATTTTAAGCAAGGGAGAAATAAAGCATTAGGTTGGTGCAAAAGTAATTACGGTTTTTTTGTTTTGTTTTGTCTTTTGAGATGGAGTCTCACTCTGTCACCCAGGCTTGAGTGCAGTGGCGCAATCTCGGCTCACTGCACCTTCCACCTCCCGGGTTCAAGAGATTCTCCTGCCTCAGCCTCCTGAGTAGCTGGGATTATAGGCAGGCACCACCACGCCCGGCCAATTTTTGTAGTTTTAGTGAGATGGGGTTTCGCCATGTTGACCAGGCTGTTCTCGAACTCCTGACCTCAGGTGATCCACCTGCCTCGGCCTTCCAAAGTACTGGGATTATAGGCGTGAGCCACCATGCCTGGCCAGTAATTGCAGTTTTTAATGGCAAAAACTGCAATTACTTTTGCACCAACCTAATATGTATGAATGTTATACCAGCTTCATAATTACAAATTTTCCTCAAAGAGAGTTTTCTAATGCGAGCCGGGGCCCTGAATTAGAAGCTCAGGTCTAGTCTTGGCCTGTGTTAGTTGCGTGGCCCTGGACTAGTATTTCCTGGGTGTGTTTTCAGAATGATAGAGAGCAGTGCCTCTCCTCTGGGGGAACGGGTGTAGACCAGCCCTGGGGTAGAAATGTGGATGGTTTATCAGTGCTCAGAACAGTTGCACAAAACAAGGACCATGCACCACAGAGAAGCTCCCATCAGAAGATGTCAAAGGGGTGGTCAGGCATGGTGGCTCATGCCTATAATCCCAGCAGTTTGGGAGGCTGAGATGGGCCGATCACTTGAGGCCAGGAGTTCGAAACCAGCCTGGCCAGCATGGTGAAACCCCATCTCTACCAAAAATACAAAAACAAGCCGGGCATGATGGCAGGCCCCTTTAATCCCAGCTACTTGGGAGGCTGAGGCAGGAGAATTGTTTGCACCTGGGAGACGGAGGCTGCAGTGAGCCAAGATCATGCCACTGCACTCCAGCCTAAGTGACAGAGCAAGACTCTGTCTCAAAAAACAACAACAACAACAACAAAAAACAAAAAACAGTCAAAGGGCATTTACTGCATAAGGATCCAGTGACTTCTCAATCATTAGAGCATAATGAGAGGCTGCTGTCAGTAACCACCTGGGAAAATGTCTTACCCTCCTTCCCTGTAAGCTAGTAGGCTTTTATATAGTTTGTTACCAGCAACCCAGCACAGCAGAATGCACACAGAAGCATTGAGGGCACACACTGTCTTTCGCGGATAAATTCAGACAAAGGAGCAGACGTTGGGTACATTGTTTGACATATCTTGGGATTCTTTCTATATCTATTTCATGGCAAGGAATAAGGGCATCTGGGTCATTTGGAAGCCACCGGGCTTAGCACCCTGTGGATGGAGTGTCCCCGCCTTGAAGATAGGCTGTTAGCGGGATTCGTACTCACATGGAAGATGATGGCGGGGGCTGGAGTGAGGCGCTTGACGCTGATGTAAGAAAGCACTTTGAGCATGTGGCCCTCCCGGCCCGCCACATAAATGAGTCTGGAAAATAACGACATGGGAATCCACTGACCAGAGTGCAGACAATCTGTCCAGGGCCACCGAGGACGTGTGTTCCGGGGTCCACTAAGGAGCCCTCGGAAGGTTCATGAAGGGAGCTGAGCAGGGACCTGGGCTTCAGATGAGGGTCTGTCTTTGGGAGAGGAGTGGGTTTTGGCAGAGTGAGTGAGGAGGTTAAACACACTGAGAGACTAGGTGTAGTGGCTCATGCCTCTAATCCCAACATCTTGGGAGGCCAAGGTGGGAGGCTCACTTGAGCCCAGGAGTTGGAGACCAGCCTGGCAACATAGTGAGATCCCATCTCTACAAATAACTTTAAAAAGTTTTTCAATTTACCGTTTCTTTGTGTTGGGAACATTCAAAATCCTCCCCTAGCTATCCGAAGCTACATATTAATATTAATGTGAGCTCTGGCCACCCTGCAGCGTGTAGAACACTAGAATCTATTCCTTCTGTCTAGCTGTAATTTTGTATCCTTCAGCAAGGCTCTCCCTATCTCCCCTTCCCCCTACCCTTTTTAGCCTCTGGTATCCTCTGGCTAACCAGAATTTCTTGAAAAAGTTACCATAATTAAAAATTTGGGCCAGGCACGGTGGCTCACTTCTGTAATCCCAGCACTTTGGGAGACTGTGGCGGGGGGGATCACCTGAGGTCAGGAGTTCGAGACCAGCCTGGCCTGGTGAAACCTTGTCTCTACTAAAAATACAAAAAATTAGCTGGGCATGGTGGTGCACACCTGTAGTCCCAGCTACTCAGGAGGCTGAGGCAGTAGAATCGCTGGAACCTGGGAGGCAGAGGTTGTGGTAAGCTGAGATCGCACCATTGCAGCTAAGATTGCACCACTGCACTCCAGACTCCAGCCTGGACGACAAAGTGAGACTCCATCTCAAAAAAAAAAAAAAAAGGCCAGGTGTAATGACTCACGCCTTAATCCCAGCACTTTGGGAGGCTGAGGCAGGCAAATCACGAGGTTAGAAGTTCGAGACCAACCTGGCCATCATGGTGAAACCCCGTCCTTACTAAAAATACAAAAATTAGCTGGGTGTGGTGGCGGGCACCTGTAACCCCAGCTACTCCATAGGCTGAGGCAGGAGAATCACTTGAACCTGGGAAGCAGAGGTTGCAGTGAGCCGAGATCGCACCATTGCACTCCAGACTCCAGCCTGGGCAACAGAATGAGACTCTGTCTCAAAACAAAACAAAACAAAACAAAAACCCCAGGAGCCCTTGAAACATAGCAGACAAAAATTGGCAAATCCAATTTGAGCAAAAGATTTGAACATTACAAGTTACAATCTTGATGATCACATAAAAATCTAGATATCCAATTGTGGAATACACATTGTCTTCAAGACTATAGGAAACACAAAAATAGCAGCGAGCCACGAAGGGCATTTTCAAACTTCTAAAGAATTGAGGCCAGGCACAGTGGCTCGCGCCTGTAATCCCAAGACTTCGGGAGGCCAAGGCGGGTGGATCACTTGAGGTCAGGAGTTCAAGACCAGCCCGGCCAACATGGTGAAACCGTGTCTCTACTAAAAATACAAAAATTGGGTGTGGTGGCAGGCGCCTGTAATCCCAGCTACTTGGGAGGCTGAGGCAGGAGAATCGCTTGAACCCAGGAAGTGAAGGTTGCAGTGAGCCGAGATCATGCCACTGCACTCTAGCCTGGACAACAGAGCGAGACTCTCTCAAAAAGATAAATAAATAAAAAGAATTGATATCAGGCCAGCCACTGTGGCTTACACCTGTAATCCCAGCACTTTGGGAGGTTGAAGTGGGAGGATTGCTTGAGGCCGGGAGTTTGAGACCAGCTTGGCCAGCATAGTAAGTACATCTACAAAAAACTTAATATTAGCCACGCATGGTGGCACGTGCCTGTGGTCCCAGCTACTTGAGAGGTTTAGGTGGGAGGATCACTTAAGCACAGGAGTCTGAGGCTGCAGTGGGCCATAATTGCGCCACCATACTCCAGCCTGGGCGACAGTGAGACCCTGTCTCCAAACGACAACAACCAACAAAAACCCCAAACCAAGACTTGATATCATAAAGGTCACATACTCTTAACTACAGCGCAAAAAAATCGGAAGTCAACACAAATGCCACAAAGACCCATCTATTTACAACTACATAGCTTAACTTTGAATTGATATGAACTTGATATTAATTCCCAAAACAAGTGAAACCGGAGGATGGGAGTTGATAAAAGGGGGATTTAGACTCAGGGTGAATACTGTCAAAGATTTTTGTCAGTCCTCCAGAAATTAATATACAAATTCCATGCAATCAGAACGCAAGCAGGACTTTTGGAACTTTTGGACAAAATCATTGTAAGTGCATAGGGAATGCTAAACCGGCAAGGAGAAGTCTGACATGGGAGCGCTAGTCCTGCCAGATTTTACATGACCAAAGCTATAAACCCTTTTTTTTTTTTTTTTTTTTTTTTTTTTTGAGAGACGGGGTCTCACTCTGTTGCCCAGGCTGGAGTGCAATGGTGCAATCTTGGCTCACTGCAACCTCTGCCCCACGGGGTTCAAGTGATTCTCCTGCCTCAGTCTCCCAAGTAGCTGGGATTATAGGCGCCCCCCACCACATCCGGCTAATTTTTGTACTTTATAAGACAGTTTCATAAATTCTTGAATTCCTGACTTCAAGTGATCCGCCCACTTTGGCCATCCAAAGTGCTGGGATTACAGATGTGAGCCACCATGCCTGACCTGTGTCATTCTATTTAGATGAAACGTCAAGAAAAAGCAAGATTATAGAGACAGAAGCAGCTTAGTGGTTGCCTGGGGCTGTGGGTGAAAGCAGGGATTAATTAGGCAGTGAGCAACCTTTTTGGGGTGATGGAAATGATCTAGAATTGGATTGTGATGTTTTGCACGGCCTTATAAATTTATGAAAATAATTGAGTTGTACAATTACAAAGGGTGAGTTTTATGATATTTGTGCCTTAATTGGAACTGTTAAAATTGTGTTTGTGTATACTAGCAATAAGCCATCAGAAACTGAAAATTAAGCAACTTTTTTTTTTTTTTTTTTTTTTTTCTTTGTGTACAGTATATGGCCAGATTGCTATGCAACTGCTCGGTTACATTCCCTTCACTCCGATGTGGATAAGCACCGCCATCGTGTTTTTTTTTTTTTTTTTTTTTTTATTTAGGTTTTTTTTTCCCCTCTCCCTCCTGCTTTACTTCCCCCCTTTTTTTTAACAATACCATTTAGAATAGTATGAAAAAATTCTTTGGAATAAATTTGACAAAAGATGTGCAAGAACTATATACCAAAAACTACTCAAAAAACACTTTTTTACAAAAAATTAAGCCAGGCACAGTGGCTCACACCTGTAATCCCAACACTGGGAGACCGAGGCAGGTGGATCACTTGAGGCCAGGAGTTTGAGTTCGAGACCAGCCTGGGCAACATGGTGAAACCCCATCTCTACCAAAAATACAAAAATTAGCCAGGTGTGATGGTGTATGCCTGTACTTCCAGCTACTTGGAAGGCTGAGGCATGAGGATCGCTTGAAACTGGGAGGCAGAAGTTGCAGTGAGCCGGGATCGTGTCACTGCACTCCAGCCTGGGTGACAAAGCAAGATCCTGTCTCAAAAAAAAAAAAAAAAAAAAAAGGCCGGGCGCGGTGGCTCAAGCCTGTAATCCCAGCACTTTGGGAGGCTGAGGCGGGCAGATCACGAGGTCAGGAGATCGAGACCATCCTGGCTAATGCAGTGAAACCCCATCTCTACTAAAAATACAAAAAATCAGCCTGCATGGTGGCGGGCGCCTGTAGTCCCAGCTACTCGGGAGGCTGAGGCAGGAGAATGGCGTGAACCCGGGGGATGGAGCTTGCAGTGAGCTGAGATTGTGCCACTGCGTTCCACCCTGGATGACAGAGCGAAGAGCGAGACTCCATCTAAAAACAAACAACAAAAAAAAAACACCACCACACAAATAAAAAGTTGTTTAAAAAAATATTGAAGACCTAAATAAACAGTCCACCCATAGATTGGAAGACTCGGCATTTTTTTTTTTTTTTTTGGAGACAAGGTCTCACTCTGTCTCCCAGGCTGGAGTGCAGTGGTGCAATCTCAGCTCACTGCAGCCTCGCCCTCCTGGGCTCACGTGATCCTCCCACCTCAGTCTCCTGAGTAGCTGGGACCACAGGCATGTGCCACTATGCCTGGCAAAGTTTATTGTATTTTTTGTAGAGATGGGGTCTCACTATGTTGCCTAGACTGGTCTCTAACTCTTGGGCTCAAGCAGTACTGCCCCTCGGCCTCCCAAAGTGCTTTGATTTCAGGTTGAGCCACCGTACCCATGCTGGAAGACTTAGTACTTTTAAGACAGCAGAGTCTTCCCCCGGTTGATCTATAGATTCAACATAGTCCTGATCAAAATCCCAAAGCTTTACTGTAGAAACTGACAAGCTGATTTTATATTCATATGCAAGTGGGAAAGCTGGCGGAATGAAATTGGACCCTTATCTCACCCCTTAGACAAGAAATCTACTCAAAATGGATGTAAGACTTGAAACTGTAGAATTCCTAGGAGTAAACGGGGCAGCTCTGTGACATTGGTCTGGACAATGAGGTTTTTTTTTCTTTTGAAATGGAATCTCACTCTGTTGCCCAGGCTGGAGTGCACTGGTACAATCTCAGCTCACTGCACCTTCCGCCTGCCGAGTTCAAGCGATTCTCCTACCTCAGCCTCCTGAATAGCTGGGATTACAGGCATCTGCCACCATGCCCCGCTAATTTTTGTATTTTTAGTAGAGATAGGGTTTCACCGTGTTGGCCAGATTGGTCTCGAACTCCTGACCTCAAGTGATCCACCCACCTCGGCCTCCCAAAGTGCTGGGATTACAGGCGTGAGCCACTGCACCTGGCCTTGGGTATATATTTGAATGAATTGAAATCGTATGTCAGATACCTACACTCCCATGTACCTCTGGGTATATATTTGAATGAATTGAAATCCACATGTCAGGTGTCTGCACTCCCATGTTCATTACAACGTTATTCACCACAGCCAAGACACAGACACAACCTAAGTGTCCATCAACAGATCAATGAATAAAAATAATGTTATAGATACACAAGGGAATACTATTCAGACTCTAAAGAGAATGGAATTCTGCCAGTTTTTGACAACAAAGATGACTCTAGAGAACATTATGCTACGTGAAATAAGCCAGACATAGAAAGACAAATATCCCATGACCTCCCTTATATATTATGGAGTCCTAATTAGGGAAAATGAGTCAGGCTGGTGGGACCAAGGGAAAGCCAAAAGAGATAAAGCAGGTAAGCTACAAACCTGCCTTTCTTCATGGCCCAGGACACATAGCCCCCTGCACAAATAACACAATCTTCCGGTGCCCAGTGATCGCCAGACCCTCAGCTAATAGAAAAATGCAAGTTAGCTCACTGCAACCTTGGCATTATCGGTACTGCACATACCCCTGTCCAGCACACAGCACAAGCACCATCCTACAAAATCCTCAGCAAGCCTTTGTCTCTTTGCAGTCAGCTCCTCTCTCGCTGACCTGCCCATTGCACCCTTACAATGTATTTTCCTGCTTACTCTAATAAATTGGCCTTTCCTGACCTACAGCTGTCTTGGTAAATTCTTATCCCTGTGCCACCAGCCCAGATAGTTGTAATGACCGGCGACATACGAGAAATCTAAAAATTGAAACATAGCAATAGAGAGTAGAATGCTGGTTACCAGAGGCTGAAGGAAGAGGGGCCTGGGATGGCAAAAGCAGCAATGTTGGTCAAAGGCTACAGAGTTTCAGTATGATGGGAGGAATAAGCTCTGGTGATTTAATGCACAGCAAGGTGACTGTTGTTAATAACAGTGTATATTTCAAAATGGCTAGTGGATTTTAAATGTTCTCATTGCAAAGAAATAAGTATGTGAGGTGATACATGTTAATTAGCCTGATTTGCTCATTCCACGATGTTTACATGTATTGAAACATCACACTCTACCACATACATATACGCAATTATTGTTATTATTTTTTAGAGACAGGGTCTTGTTCTGTTACTCGGGCTGGAGTGCAGTGGTGTGATCATGGCTCACTGCAGCCTGGAACTCCTGGGCTTACATAATCCTCCCACCTCAGCCTCCCAAGTAGCTGGGACTACAAGCATGGGCCACCACACCCAGCTAATTTTTAAATTTCTTTTTGTAGAGACGGAGTCTCACCACGTGGCCCAGACTAGTCTCGAACTCCTGGCCTCAAGGGATCCTCCTGCCTCAGCCCATATAAACAATTATTATTTGTCAATTAAAAATAAAATAAGGCTGGGCACGATAGTTCGTGCCTATAATTCCAGGACTTTGGGAGGCTGAGGCAGGAGGATCACTTGAGCCAGGAGTTCGAAACCAGCCTGGGCAACATGGTGAAACCCCGTCTCAACTAAAAATACAAAAGTTAGCTAGGTGTGGTGGCATGTGCCGGTGGTCCCAGCTACTCCAGAGGCTGAGGAGGGAGGATTGCTTGAGCCGAGGAGGTGGCAGCTACAGTGAGCCAAGATCATGCCACTGTGCTCCAGTCTGGACAACAGAGCGAGAGGCCTGCCTCAAAATTAATTAGTTAATTAAAATTAAAATTTAAACATTTATAAAGAAATACAAAGGATGTAGCCAAAATGCTTTTGACAAAGAACGAAGTTGGAGGTGTGTATTTTGGTTTGGCTTTAGAAGAATGATTTTATGGTACTTCATTTTTTAACATATGTAGACTTTGTCAATTTCACTTGGAAATATATCCATCCGGAACACTGGACAACTGTGATACTTCCCTTCACCTCAGCGTGGACAGCTTCCCCGCCATGTTTGGAACTAGGGCCCTGGAGTGGAAAGGCTGAGATTCCAGGCAGCCTTGATCAGTTCCCGTGTGCAGGCCCATCCATGCCTTCCTGGCCAGTTTGCGGCGTGGGTTCAAGCCACATCCCTCCCCTGGATTTGGGTCTCCTACTTGTGCTGCCATGGGTTTCGCCTGGCAGAGCCCTGAGGATTTGAGCTGTGTGTCTTCCTCAGGGGTGACATTGGTTTCGCCGCCCCTGCCCACCCTGGGAGTGACGGCCGGGGGTCCCCTACCTGCCCGCTGTGAAGCAGCTCCCGTTAGCAGCACCGATGGTTGAAAATGCCACAAAAAGTGGAACGACCCAAGACGCTGGATAGAGAACACGGTCACCAAACGTCTGTGAGAGAAGCGAGATGAGTCCTGAGGGTCTTCTCGGCCTCCTAGAGCGGCCGGCCCCCAAAAGCTATTCTGGCCTCCCAGGGGACCCAGGGACCCACCTCGCCTCAGGGCACAGCCTCTGACTTCTCCATTGCAGAGGAGAGAGGAGAACGCCAGTCACCTACCTCCAGATATTGTGATGGCAAGAGAAATCTCTTATGCACTACTCCCTGACATAAATCAATCTATCTATCTATCAGTCAATCTATCAGACAGAGTTTCGCTCTTGTTGCTCAGGCTGGAGTGCAATGGTGCGGACTCAGCTCACTGCAACCTCTGTCTCCTGGGGTCAAGCAATTCTCATGCCTCCGCCTCCCAAGTAGCTGGGATTACAGGCACGTGCCACCACACCGACCTAATTTTTATATTTTTAGTAGAGACGGGATTTCACCATGTTGGCCAGGCTGGTCTTGAACTCCTGACCTTGTGATCCGCCCACCTCGGCCTTCCAAAGTGCTGGGATTACAGGCATGAGCCAACATGTCCGGCCAAATCTTTATTTTTTAATTTGATTTTTTTGGAGACAGGATCTTGCTCTGTTACCCAGGCTGGAGTGCAGTGGCGTGATCATGTCTCACTGTAGCCTCAGCCTCCTGGGTTCATGCGATCCTTGGCCTCAGTCTTCCAAGTAGCTGAGACCACAGGCACTCACCACCACACCCAGCTGCATAATTCTTGGTCATTTCAATATCCTGACACCTTCACCCCTCACTTCCCCGAACCCCCAGTCCAACTGGAATGGCTGAATTCTCCCTCCCACCTTAGCAGCCCCCAGTCTCGTGGTCAGTGACCTCAATGCTTATCCAAACTGTGTCTCCTCCACCTTCTGAATCCCCAACACTTGGTTGTCTGTTTGCAACTGCAGGAGGCCCCCAGCCACCTCTTCACTGGCCCCAATGCCTCTCACCTCTCAGCTTCTATGATTCATTATTATTTAGGGTGGTGCAAAAGTAATTGCCAATTTTGCCATTGAAAGGAATGGCAATTACTTTTGCACCAGCCTAATATAATGACCTCCCCCGACTCCCTGGCACTTTCTGCCTCTGCTTCATGCTTGCCTGTCAAACCCTCACCCTGGCTAGCCCAGCCCTGCCTCCGACTCCATGCCGTGCATGCCCAGTCCGTGCCCCCGTCCGTGAATATCGCCCTCCTTCCCTGGGAGGAAGCTCACCTTCAGTGCTGACACCTGCCTTACCCCCTTCCCACAAGCCACAGCCCGCCAGCAGCGATGCCCGAGCACTCACCACGGCCACGGCCTGGGACTGCAGGAGTTCGGTGGCAGTCATCACGGTGAAGTAGGACACATTTATGAGGATGTAGCACACCGTCACCAGGGGGATCCCGATGATAATGGCCAAAGGCAGGTTTCTGGGAGGGGCAATGACACGGAGACCCACGTTCAGACCACAGCCTCCTGTGGGAGATGGACGCCCTCCCTGAGGCCCTTCCAGGGCGAAGATTCGCAGGTAGCAGAGCCCCAGCAGGAACATGAGACATTTTCAAATGGGAATGCCGCCTCTCAGACTCCAGAGCAGTTCACATGGAACTGTTTATAAAGCAGAATAAGCCAGAGGTAAAGGAAGACCAAGCTCCTCCCTCCCTTAGTAGCCACTGCTCTGCCCCAAACCAAACCAAGCTCTAAACGTGCATAGTGAGCTCATAAGAAACCATTCACTGGCCGGGCGTGGTGGTTCACACCTGTAATCCCAGCACTTTGGGAGGCTGAGGTGGGCGAATCTCTTGAGGTCAGGAGTTCAAGACCAGCCTGGCCAATATGGCAAAATCCCATCTCTACTAAAAAATCCCATCTCTACTAAAAAAATACAAAATTTAGTGAGCTGAGATCTCCAGTCTAGGCGACAGAGCAAGACTCTGTCTCAAAAAAAAAAAAAAAAAAATCACTGTCGGGAAGGGCATCATGGCATCATGGAATAACCAGGGAAACAGCTCCAGTCTTCACCAGGAGAAGAGAAATCAGCCTGCCCGGCTACTGTCCCCTGCACTGATTGAGCTGTTACCTGTAAGGGTTTCTAAGTTCTTCTGTGATATAATTGAGTTGATTCCTGGAAAAAGGAAAGTAACAAGCATCACACCTTGACTTTCTTTTTCTAATATGAAACCCACAATAATAAATTTTGGCTTCATTTAAGATTCTCTACCAGAGAAAAAAATTCTGCAGAAATTCCAGGTGAATTTCTTTCCAGGTTAATGGCCCTGCTAGTGGTGGGGCCTGGGCTCCTACCCAGACCTACACATCTGTCAGCTGGTTGAGTCTTTGCCCTCCTTGGGAATCACGTGGATTTTGAAGAATAATCAGGAGTAGTGAGTCCCCAGGGGGCTTTGAAAAAATGGAATATTCCTTTGTCTGAAAAGGGAATGAAATCTATAAATGCTTTGCAGGAGAGAAGAACCAGCGTTATAGATGGTCATGCTTCTTCCTTAAAGGACAAAAACGGGCCAGGCATAGTGGCTCACGTCTGTAATCCCAGCAGTTTGGGAGGCTGAGGTGGGCGGATCACTTGAAGTCAGAAGTCCAAGACCAGCCTGGTCAACATGGTAAAACCTCATCTCTACTAAAAATACAAAAATTAGGCGTACGTGGTGGCAGGTGCCTGTAATCCCAGCTAGTCGGAAGGCTGAGGCAGGAGAATTGCTTGAACCTGAGGGGTTCAAGCAATTGCAGTGAGCCGAGATTGCGCCACTGCACTCCAGCCTGGGTGATAGAGGGAGACTCCATCTCAAAAAAAAAAAAAAAAAAAAGACAAAAACAAAGTCTCATCCACTAAACCCGATAAATACATAAAATGTATATGATATTATTTATTTTTGTAGGGCAGCCTCCAAACCATAATAGGTTCAAAGAGGCTCCCAATCCTAATGATTTTCAAGGTTAAATAGAAGAGCTATTGAGTATTCTTTGTTTAATCAAGAGCTTGAGGCGGGACACGGTGGCTCACGCCTGTAATCCCAGCACTTTGGGAGGCTGAGGAGAGAGAACTGCCTGAGTGCAGGAGTTTGAGACCAGCTTGGGCAACATAGAGAGACTCTGTCTCTACAAAGGATAAAAATAAAAAATTACCCGGGCATGGTAGCTCCTATCTGTAGTCCCAGCTGCTCAGGAGGCTGAGGCGGGAAGCTGGCTGGAGCCCAGGAGTTTGAAGCTACAGTGAGCTATGATTCTGCCATTGCACTCCAGCCTGGGTGACCAAGTGAGATCCTGTCTCTAAAAAAAAAAAAAAAAAAAGAAACCGAAACAAAAGAGAAAACCCGAGCTTGGGGCCTGGCTGCGTCTAATTGGCCTGAGCCTCTATTGGCCCGGTGGGTTCTGCACAGAGCGCTCTGGCTGACTGAGCCAGAGTCTCCGGGAATAAAGGGTAGAGGTTGTCGCATGCTTCCCAAAAAGGAAATGGGAGGGTGAATGTCAAGGTCACACCAAACCCCAGAGAGGGGAACTCATTGCTTTCCATGACAGGTGGAGTTAAAGTCGCCTGGAGAACCCCACCCACCCCCAGGCTCGGGACATCTCAGGACGCCTCACCATCCATCGTAGGCCCAGAGTCCATTGTAAAACGCCAGGCTGATGGCTCCCACAGACAGCTGGGCGCCCTCGAAAGAATTATCAAAATTCTTTGTGTTTCCTGTAATGAAGCCAGACAGTGAACGGCGGGTGTCAGCCGGCCAGATCTTGAGTGCATCTCCACGGGAAAGACGGGCATGATTGTGACCCCAGCTTATTAAACACGCCCTGCAACTAAGGATCCCTCCCACTGAGTTCCCGCCACGCTTCCTTGGCGATGGGCTCGTGGGGCAAGGCTGCTCCACTCCCAGTGGAAGGGGGTTTGGTGTGTGCCCGTGCAGGGCCCGCCCTCCCGTGGGTCACCTTGGGCCAGGAGCACGAGCCCGCTGATGATGATGATGGCTACGATCACCAGCTTGGCCGCGGTGAAGATGTTCTGGACGTAGCTTCCAAGCCGCACGCTCAGTGAGTTCACCGTCGTGATGAACACTGGAAGGGTGGGGGCAGTTTCTGCATTTATGGTTTTCAACAAAGCCCTGGAGAGAGTCTCCTTTCTTTTATATATTTTTTAATTTTTTATTTTTTATTTTCTTTTTTTGAGATGGAGTCTCACTGTGTCACCCAGGCTGGAGAGCAGTGGCATGATCTCAGCTCATGATCTCAGCAATCTCTGCCTCCCCGGTTCAAGCAATTCTCCTGCCTCAGACGCTTGAGTAGCTAGGACGACAGGTGCATACCACCATGACTGGCTAATTTTTGTATTTTTAGTAGAGAGCTTGTCTGGAGGTTCTAGAGGGGGAGCGCGGCTACTCATATACCCTTGACCGAAGACCAGTCCTCCTCTATTGGGGATGGTCATCCTCTTTGACCAAGCACACAGCTTCAGGAGGGATGCACGTGGAGCAGTGAGGGAGGAAGGGGACACCAGCCTAGCCAGCCAGATCACCTGAATCAACCCTGGCGATCAGAGGGGCAACAAATATCCCTGCCAGATTGCCCTCACATCCAGTTTTTCTAATTTTATTTTTATTTATGTATTTATTTGAGGTGGAGTCTCACTCTGTCCTCTAGGCTGGAGTGCAAAGGCACAGTCTCGGCTCACTGCAACCTCCACCTCCTGGGTTCAAGCAATTCTCCTGCCTCAATCTCCCCAGTAGCTGGGATTATAGGCACATGCTACCCCACCAGCCCCCCAGCCCCCCCACCCCACCCTGCTGATTTTTGTATTTTAGTAGAAATGGGATTTTGCCACGTTGGCCAGGCTGGTCTCAAACTCGTGACCTCAAGTAATGCACCCGCCTTGGCCTCCCAAAGTGCTAGGATTACAGGCGTGGGCCACCACACCCAGCCTCTTTTATTTTATTTTTTGAGACAGGGCCAAGGCTCAAGTGATGCCCCCTCCTCAGCCTCCCAAGTAGCTGGGACTCCAGGTGCATGCCACCACACGCAGCTAATGTTTTTATTTTTTGTAGAGGCAAGGGTCTCACTGTGTTGACAGGGCTAATCTCAAACTCTTGGCCTCAAGCGATCCTCCCACCTCAGCCTCCCAAAGTGGTGAGATTCCAAGCATGCTAATTTTTGTATTTTAGTAGAAACGGGCAGCATGCCTGCTGCCCACCCCAGCTCCCCCATCAGCCACCACATTATCTCCCAAATTCCAAGAGGGCAGATCCCAACCTGGGAGTTTAAGGACCTTTTAAATGAACCTGGAGATGACCTTTGAAATTTAGCCGGGCTGCCTCAGATGGCGAAAAATTATCAGGGCATGGTAAGCAGCGTCCGGAGTAGCTGGGATTACAGGTACGTGCCACCATGCCGGGAGAAGAGGCTGGGCCCCGAGCGACGGCTCTGCCCTGCAGGACAGCCAGCGGTACCCCTCCCTGCAGCCCCCACGGGCCTGGGGGTCCCCAGCGTGCGGCACCCACAGGTACCGCAAAGGCTGACACCAGGCCCTGCCTGGCCCCTCGCCAGAGACTCTAGTTCACTGGGAAGGAGCGGAGGGCGGGGTCCCTGGACACCCTCTGTGCCTGGTCTTTTCTGACCCCACCCTGGGCTCGGGTACTCACAGATGGCGGCAGCGGCCAGGCATTTCACAACAATTACAGGAGGTTTGCAGCCCACGTAGAAGGGCGTGCACACGTACTCGGAGAAGCTGAGGCAGATGATGGCGAAGGACGAGGGCTTCATGACCATCAGGCTGACCCAGGAGAAGAGGTAGGCGGGGATGGGCCCGTAGGCCTCCATCAGGTAGGGATACTCCCCCCCCGACTTGGTGATCATCGTGCCAAGTTCTGCAAAGCACAGGGCGCCTGGAATGCAGAGAGGAAGGGCCCATAGGCCCCTTGTGAGGCACTGCTCTGGCCCCAGGGAGCTTTCCTCCCGCGGGGGGCTGCGCGCGTATGGAGGGGCCCACCGTGGTCTGCCCTCACTGGGCGGCCCTGAGCTCCAGCTGTTGGACATTCAATCCAGCCTGATTTACACCTGTTTGCCACACATGTGCCAAGAGGGACACTGGCAGGGTGAGGGCTGAATAGGTAGCGCCTGCCTAGCGTGCCCCTGCATGCTTTGGGGGCTGCATCAGGGAGCCAAGTCTCTTTACCCAGCATTGCGAGGACCCCGCAAACCGCCCATATGATGAGGCAGGGCCCCACAGCTTCCGTGTTGCTGAGTACAGACTTGGGGGAAATGAAGATCCCAGAGCCGATGATGGTGCCCACGATGATGCAGATGCCACTGATGAGGCCCAGCTAGGTGTGGAGGAAGGAAGAGCGTGTTAGTGCCACGCCTGGACCCAGCCCAGAAGACCAGGTGCCACCCTGCCTTGGTACGGCCAGGGCAGCCCCAGCCAAAGCCCATGCTCCAAGCGCTTCCACCCCGAGCGGCTGCCCTGGCAACACCGGGGCACGGCTCCCGGAGCTTCGCTTATGTTAACGTGATTAATTCTCGTGACAGCCCCGTGAGCTGGCCACACTGTACCACCCCCAAGGTACAGAGGAGGACGCTGGCCCAGGTTCCGTGCGCCTAACCATGATCCTGTGCCCTCAATGAAAAGACTGACTTGGCGACAGCTTACCAATGAGAAGGGCCCTCGGGATACGCCTCTGAGCTGGGCAGAGGAGAAAGGAGTGCACCACCAAAGCAGAGGGAAGTCAGGGCCTAGAGTCCTGGCCAGAGGCTCCATGCAGGGTGAGCAACGGAGGCCTCCCAGAAACAGAAACATTCAGGGACTGTGAACTTTCTGGGTGCCATTTTCTTTTATCTTATTTTTATTTACTTATTTATTTAGAGTCAGATCTGTCACCCAGGCTGGAGCACAGCAGTGAGATAATAGCTCACTGCAGCCTCAAACTGCTGGCCTCAAACAATCCTCCCAACTCAACCTCCCAAAGTGCTGGGATTGCAGGCATAAGCCACCATGCCTGGCCCAGTGCCATTTGCTAGGATGTGAGCTTTCTCAGAACAGAACCTAGCTCAAAGAGACACCGGATGGTTCCATGCCTGTGAAGCTCAAGAACAAGGAAACCCAAGTAAAATGCGCATCGGCTGACAGGAGCGAGGGAATGGCGAACGGGCTGGGGATGCCATGTCCAGGGGCGACAGAGGAGAGTTCAAAAAAAAAAAAAAAAAAAAAAAAAAAAAAAAAAACACGCGACAGGAATGCAAGGCTGGGACCCTGTCCAGAAAGGGGCAGGAGGGAGCTTTCTGGGGTGGTACATCTGTCAAAACTCACCAAACTCAGCACTAAAGATCTGTACATTTCAGCCAGGTGCGGTGGTTCATGCCTGTAATACCAGCACCTTGGGAGGCCAAGGCAGGCGGATCACCTGAGGTCGCAAGTTCGAGACCAGCCTGGCCAACACGGAGAAACCCTGTCTCTACTAAAAAATACAAAAATCAGCCAGGCATTCTGGTGCACGCCTGTTCCTAGCTACTCAGGAGGCTGAGGCAGGAGAATCTCTTGAACCCCGCGAGGCAGAGGTTGCAGTGAGCCACTGCACTCCAGCCTGGGTGACAGTGAGACTCTGTCTCCAAAAAAAAAAAAAAAACCTGCACATTTCACTGTATGTAAATTACACACCAATGAAGGATGAAAAAAAAAGTCCAACTCAAGCTCTACTCATAACACCTGTCCTCAGAAGCAGCCCCCAGCCAGATCTCCAGAGCCTGAAGTTTCCAGCGCCCGTGTTCACCTGTCTGGGAAGAGGCTGGGCTTGGAGTCAGATCGCAGGGGATGAAGGGCTCCCAGCTGCAGGCTGCCACCCTGGGGACTCTCCGCACACCAGCGGGATCCCTGGGGAGCAGCGTCAGCTTTCAGGGCCAGGACGCACTTCCAGGACAGGGCTCAGCTCTCCTCCTCATCTCAGCCCTGTTTGGCTCCAGAGTCCTCCCTCCTGCTGAGGGACTGCCTGGGTTCTGATGTGGGTGAGGCCTGCATTCACCCTGAAGCTGCCTGACTGAGGGGTAGACCCAGCTCAGATTTTCAGTTTTTAGAGTCAGGGTCTTGCTCTGTCACCCAGGCTTGGAGTGCAATGGCACGATCATGACTCACTGCAACCTCGATTTCCTGGGCTCAAGCGATCCTCCCTCCTCAGCCTCCCAAAGTGCTAAGGTTACAGGCGTGTGCCGCCACACCTGTCCCCAGCTCAGAAGACACATCTGGGGATTTCTCAGCTGTGCTCTGTGGCCACTGGGCCCAACAGGGTTCCAAGAGGCCCTTGCTGAGATCAGGCCTGAGACTGGCCGAGAGGGAGAGGGCTGCAGCCCATCGTCTACCTCCTGGGGACCCCAGTCCCAGGCCAAGCCATTCAGGCCATTGCCAGCCCCCTGGTCAAGTCCTAAAGCCTTGGTGCGGTCCCTCCTCCATCCCCTCTGCTGCCAGGCATGGGAGCTCTCGGAGGCCCCACCCACACCACTGCCCTGGAAGCGGAAACCATCCCGAGCTTGCCTAGGGCTGCCTTTCCTCCTCCTCGGAGCCTGAAGCCCTCCCCGCTCCTCCATGCTCAGCACCTGCTGCTCCCAACTGCCTGGGCCTGCCGCGGTGACCCGTGTGGAGCTCCTTTCTGCCTTCCCACAGCCCCAAGCTCCCTTCCCCTCCAGGCCCAGGGCCAGCCCCAGCTGCTCACTGCACCCCAACTCAGAGCGGCCGTCCCTGGGTAGATGCCTCTAAGACAGAACAGGCTATGCTGGGGGCAGTACTTCCCCTTACTACAGCCATTCAGACATAAGAGGGACAGGCATTTAGAGGGGACTCAACCATCAGAACACCCTCTCTGGCTGGGCACAGTGACTCACGCCTATAATCCCAGCACTTTGGGAGCCCAAGGTGGGAGGATGGCTTGAGCCCAGGAGTTCCAGACCAGCCTGGGCAACACAGCAAGACCGTGCCTCTACAGAAAAAAATTTTTTGAAAAGTTAAAAATTTGGCAGGGCATTGTGGTGCACCCCTGTAGTCCCAGCTACTCCGGAGGCTGAGGCAGGAGGATCACTTGAGCCCAGGAGGTCGAGGCTGCAGTGAGCCATGATTGTACCACTGCACTCCAGCCTGGGTGACAGAGCAAGACCTTGTCTCTAAATTTTTTTTTTTTTTAATTTTTTAAAAGGAGGCCCTTTCTGACCATTCCTGGAAAGGTCATTAGTTTGAACAAAACTACTGGCCCCTCTAGACATTTGCCCAACACACAAAAGCACCCAGGTATGAACTTAAAATAATATGTGGGCCGGGCAAGTTGGCTCACGCCTGTAATCCCAACACTTGGGAAGCCAAGGTGGGCAGATCTCTTGAGGCCAGGAATTGGAGGCCAGCCTGGCCAACATGGTGAAACCCTGTCTCTACTAAAAATACAAAAATTAGCCAGGCATAGTGGCACATGCCTGTAGTCCCAGCTACTCAGGAGACTGAGGCAGGAGAACTGTTTGAACCCAGGAAGCAGAGGTTGCAGTGAGCTGAGATCAAGCCACTGCACTCCAGCCTGGGCGACATAGCAACACTCTGTCTCAAAAAAAAAAAAAAAAAATGCAGCCGGGTGCAGTGGCACACACCTGTAACCCCAGCACTTTGGGAGGCCGAGGTATGAGGATCACCTGAGGTCAGGAGTTCGAGACCAGCCTGGCCAACATGGCAAAACCCCATCTCTACTAAAAATACAAAAATTAGCCGGGTATGGTGGCGGGCGCCTATAATCCCCACTACTCAGGAGCCTGAGGCAGGAGAATCCCTTGAACCGGGGAGGTGGAGGTTGCAGTGAGCCGAGATGGCGTCACTGCACTCCAGCCTGGGCGACAGAGCAACACTCCATCTAAAAAAAAAAAAAAAAAAAGAATATACAGAGTTCCCTGGTGAGAGGGAAAGAGGGAAAGAAGTAGGTTCAGAGATTGTCCCTTTAAAGATGTAATTCACAAATCAAAGAGCACATCTTCTGCCGTGTCACTAGGGATCGGCCCGGATTTCACTGCCTGCGCCCCTCGTTCAGACGCCCTTGCCTAACCTGCAAAGGGCCCGCCCCGCCAGAGACCGCCTTACCTCCTTTTGGAGATTGGTGGTCTTGGGCTCTTGGCTCTGGATCGACTTCTCATCCTCTCTCCGCTTTCTCAGGCCAGTATCCCCCATGTTTCCTCCTGCTGGTTCCAGGAGACTGCAAGGAAGGCGCACAGCTGAATCTTGGTTCAGCAGCAGCAAACAAGATGCAAGTGCAAGCTCGGCCTGGACTAGGGGAGCTGGCTCCAAAAGCACAGTGTTGGTTACTGCGACAGGCGGGGGCCGCTGCCAGTCCTGCAGGGCTCATGCGCTGGGCCCCAGAGTCAAAGTCAGTCATTAACACTGTCCAGGCAGGGGAACACAGCTCCCCGCTGTTCTCCAAAGCTCAGCTGCTTGCTTAGCTTTCTCCCAGACAGGCCCCGGGAGCCTTCTGGCCCACGTGCCTGTGCCTTGAAAGTTATTCTACCTCCGTGGTCCAACTTCATTTTTTTTTTCCAAAAGTTAAAAGAAATATTTAACAACATCCTGGGCTGGGCACAATGGCTCAGGCCTGTAATCCCAGCACTTTGGGAGGCCAAGGTGGGCGGATCACTTGAGCCCAAGAGTTTGAGACCAGCCTGGCCAACATGGCGAAAACCCGTCTCCACTCAAAATGAAAAAAAAAAAAAAAATTAGCTGGGCATGGTGGCGGGTGCCTGTAATCCCAGCTACTCAGGAGGCTGAGGCAGGAGAATCACTTGAACCTGGGAGGTGGGGGTTGCAGTGAGCCAAGATCGTGCCACTGCACTCCAGCCTGGGCCACAGAGCGAGACTCCGTTTCAAAAAAATAAAATATAAAAAATTTAAAAATGAAAATATTGTGGAATGTATTTATCAGAATCAAGTCCAGGTAAGGAGTGTGTGTCTTATAATTCCTTCCCAAGATTAAAGACACTCCCCTACATCACAGAGCCACAATACAATACAGGTACTTTTTCTTTGTACTTTTTAAATTTTTACAATATTTTTTTTGTAAAGACGTGAGTCTCGCTATTTGCCCAGGCAGTCCTTCCACCTTGGCTTCCCAAAGGGCTGGGATTTCAGGGGTGAGCCACCGCGCCTGGCCAGGTACTTTTTCATTAAGTGATGAAAGGAATGAAAACATTGCCGAGGAAACCCAGTTCCAGACTGAATTAGGAGGTAACCATGCACCACTGTACCCTCTCTCTAAATAAATTCTCTGTCCAGGCCCCGGCCAGGAGAGCCATGAGCCTTTCCTTACCTTCCTCCGTGACCCTGCAGAGCCGGAGAAGCTGCGGCCCAGCTGACCGCCCGTGCCTGCACGGTCCAACCCTAGGAATGGCCATGTCTTGTGCCCAGGAGTGAAGGAAGTCCAGAAGGTACAGAGGTCAATGAAGGTAATTATTAAACACCTTTTTTTTGGTTTTGTTTTAGCCATGAAGCTTAGATACGCCACACAAAAAGGGGAGGGTGAGGCAGACCAATTTCTCTCCATAACTGTTTTTGTTCATTTGTGTCTAGGTCAGATTATTTTTTTAAAACCAGATAGTCCCAAATCATCTACACTTTTTACCTAAAGATAAAATAAATTATGCCTTCTTTTATCTTTGGGAATCAGAGGAGGTAAACTTTGGAACCAATTCTCTAATTGCTTTAATAGGCTATATTTAAAACCCAAGTCAGGCAGCTCAAACAGGAACTGCTGTGTGTGTGTAACTCAGCTGTTTGTCAGTTTCCTCCCCGCCCAGGATGAGAGCGGTTGAGCTCGTCCCACTCCTCTTTACCAGTGATGGGGCTTCACCACTTGGAGCCACGAGCAGGCCTGAGGCAGTGCAGGCCCCCACATCCTCCCTGCAGCTGTGGCCAAATGCCCATCAGATTTGGCTGTGGTGCTGTTCACGTAGCCCTGTCCTGGCTCATCAGACACAAGGGACACAAAACCTTCCCCATCGGGGAAACAGAGGCCTATGGGGGGACAGGAAACACATGGCCAGGAAGCTCCGGTCCCCATCCAGGGCTGCCAGGGTCTGGATGTCTCCGGGAGGGAGCAGAGGTTCTCCTGCGCTGCGACTGGACCTTGGGTCAGGCGGCAGCCTCAGAGGTCAGCACTAAGCCCTTTCAGATAGGGAAGGAAGCACCTTATGAGACAGGCAGGACAGCCTGGCACAGCATAAGCACTGCGTGTGAAGCATTGTAGCTGTTATCTTCAGCCAAAACTCTGGTAGCTTTGCCTCAAGGCAAACCTAACTGCATCCCAGATATTGGATGGAAGCAAAGGTCGGGGGTGGAAGGAGCTGGGCGAGTCTCTGGGGGACAGTTTGGGGCAAGCAGACCTGAGAGAGGCACAGGTTTCTCTCAAAGCCGTCTGCAGAGCACAGGAACCTGATTTAGAAGTTCATCAGCTCCAGGCCAGGCGCGGTGGCTCACTCCTGTAATCCCAGCACTTTGGGAGGCCGAGGCAGGTGGATCACCTGAGGTCGGGAGTTCAAGACCAGCCTGACCAACATGGAGAAACCCCGTCTCTACTAAAAATACAAAAAATTAGCCAGACATGGTAGCACATGCCTGTAATCCCAGCTACTCGGGAGGCTGAGGCAGGAGAATCGCTTGAACCCAGGAGGCGGAGGTTGCAGTGAGCAAAGATCCTGCCACTGCACTCCAGCCTGGGCAAAAAGAGCGAAACTCCATCTCAAAAAAAAAAAAAGAAGTTCATTACCTCCCATCTTGGGAGGGCACAGCCTGTTTACCTGCCTGCCATGCCCAGAGCCCTGAGCAGAGAGGCTGGAGAGTAGAAGCCAGGGGCTGGCGGCAGGTCCTGCCACCCCCAGACAGAACCTGCCCACAGGCTTGCTGGGGTCGCTCCTCCTAATGCTGCAGCCTCGTCATAGCACCTGGCACATCCATGTTTGCAAAACACCACAGAATACTCCCTGGGGAAACGTGCTCCTGGCGGGCTGACAGGAGACCACATGAGGAGGGCAGGGTGGGGCAGTGGTCCCCTGCTGGGGCCAGACACCAGACAGCCCTGCAACCTCACCCACTACCCACATGGGCTCAGGCAGCACTGCCAGGATCAGGATCTGAATCTGCAAAGCGGGGCTAGCAACAGGCGCCTCCTCGTGGAACACATTGAACTTGCGTGTTCCATGAATGTCCAGGAATAGACCACTGGTCTTCCTCGGCCTCTGCCAAGTGCCGAGTTTGGAACGTCAGGGTGTGAGGGTCCTTCGTTAAGTCAGAAACCTCCACTTCAGTTCATTTTGGGTCCACGGTGAGCATTTCTTAAGCCTGTTTCTTAAAGTTGTGTTTTTCACCCCAGTCCCACCCTCTCCCTCCCTTGAATACACAGAAAGTATTCAAGTAATTCTCATAAGCTCTTCCTCATGGAAAATAATACAGATTTGATTTAAAAAGCAAAATTTTCCTCAGTTCTTGAAGATTGTTGGTTCATTGTGTATCCAGTGCTTCTGCCATGTGGCTGAAGTTTCACCTCCCTGCTGTCAATTTTTTTTTTTTTTTTTTTTTTTTACATGGAGTCTCATTCTGTCGCCCAGGCTGGAGTGCAGTGGCTTAATCTTGGCTCACTGCAACCTCGCCTCCTGGGTTTAAGCGATTCTCCTATCTCAGCCTCCTGAGTAGCTGGGATTACAGGCATCCACCACCATGCCTGGCTAATGTTTGTGTTTTTGGTAAAGACAGGGTGTCATCATGTTAGCAGGCTGGTCTTGAACTCCTGACCTCAAGGGACCCACCAGCCTCGGCCTCCCAAAGTGCAAATCCTACTGTCATTTTTACCATTTTGTTTATTCTGTGAGACTGAGTCTTGCCCTGTCACCCAGGCTGGAGTGCAGTGTCATGATCTCAGCTCACTGCAACCTCCACCTGCCAGGTTCAAGCGATTCTCCTCCCTCAGCCTCCCGAGTAGTTGGGACTACATGTGTGACACCACGCCTGGCTAAGTTTTGTATTTTTAGTAGAGACAGGGTTTCACCATGTTGGCCAGGCTGGTCTTGAACCCCTGACCTCAAGTTATCCACCCGCTTCAGCCTCCCAAAGTGCTGGGATTATAGGCGTGAGCCACCACGCCTGGCTAACCACTCTATTTCTTAAGTTTCTGCTAAAGACTCTTGACCTTCACTTTCAACCCGTGCTTTTCCCTTCTGATTGCAAAAATGCTTGCAGGTTGAAGATCTTCACACCATCTGCATTTTGTCTTATATTTGGTGCATATTTGGTTTCAGTTGGGGAGAGTAAAATGCTTCCCTCCACCCTTCTGGGTTCTTTGGTCAGGCTTCAAATTGAGACCAATGGGAGGAAAACGGTTCTAATTATGTATATAAGCAACAGAGTCCCACAAAACAAGAGACTTGACGAAGGGTCAGATGACTAAACCCTATATAGCATCCTGAGCTATATAAGGATTAGGGGCTTGGGGCTTCTGGGGCAGGTAGGGACGAGTAATGGAATGGTGAGGGGAGGAAATGCATGGCAAATAAAGGTCGTCTGGTTATGCAGATATAAATCTCTCAGGTAATAAAAGTTGTCTCCTCCTGGTACAGATACTTGTTCTAATGTAGATTTCCTTCATGACATAAATTTATTTTGCAAAGGGCAGCTTTTCAGAGATACACCTGTTGTGTTTGCAGTTTCTCAGCATAACCAGCTCAAAATATTCCAAAGAAGTATAATTTGGGGTGATATATATCTGGTCTCCTACAGTCGCATTTTGGGGGTGCTGTGTCCTGCACCCCAGTATTTCCTTCTCCTGTGATGGTCTGTGTTTGAGACAGGGTCTCTTGTTCCCAGGCTAAAGTGCAGTGGCGTGATCATGGCTCACTCCAGCCTTGACCTCTTGGGCTCAAGGGATCCTCCCATTTCAGCCTGTCAAAGTGCTGAGATTACAGGCGTGAGCCATGGCACCTGGCCTTCTGTGATGGTTTTAAAGATATCTTTAATCCCACAGTGTCAGTCTGCACAGCCTCTGGGCTGCCCAGCTGGGCGCCTTGTTCTCTAATTCACTGTCCTCATGATAGAGGCAGGGTCTTGGGCACACATTCAGGCAGGGGCTGAATCTTCCTTTACCACTGAAAGCTTGTTCCAGACCTGCCTTCAAGTTTTCACTTTCTCCTATTCATGAAGTTCATTCGGTCTTATATTCCTTCCCACGGCTGCTGACAGTAGCATTTGGGGATTTGGAGGGGGACCCAAAAGACAGAAATAACTGGCATACTACCACAGATAGAAGAGGTGTTTGTTCCCTTACTACCTGAATTCCAACCAGAAGAACTTGGGATGAGCTAGCGATGTGCAAAGCCTTTCAATGTCAGGGACGTGCTGTCTAGCCATAAAACAATTAGCAAGGAAAGCATAAACATAATTTCAAAACACTTATCTAGGAACAATCTATATATATCCAACAACTACTGGAATAGTACAATTCTGCCTTCGAACTTTGTCCATCATTTTTGTGTGTTCCAAGTAATATGGTTTTTCATAAAATAACCTGCGTGGGAAAGCCAGTGCAGTTGCAGCATGCCGTCAGTACACAACTTCCCATCCTGCTCCCTTCCCCACTGACCTTGTCACTATTTATGGTTGCTGCCCCTTTTCTCAACTACGGCGGCCACGCATGATGAAAGTTGTGATCGCTGCTGAGGTTGGGGAAAGAGGGTTCTGTGTCATCAAACATCGTTAATAAAGACTTACTAGGCCGGGCACGGTGGCCCATGCCTGTAATCCCAACACTTTGGGAGGCCAAGGCAGGCGGATCACTCAGGAGATCGAGACCATCCTGGCTAACACGATGAAACCCCGTCTCTACTAAAAATACAAAAATTAGCAGGGCGTGGTGGTGGGTGCCTGTAGTCCCAGCTACTCGGGAGGCTGAGGCAGGAGAATGGCATGAACCCGGGAGGCGGAGCTTGCAGTGAGCCAAGATCGCACCACTGCACTCCGGCCTGGGCGACAGAGCGAGACTCTTGTCTCAAAAAAAAAAAAAAAAAAAAGAGTTACTATTTTGTTGGGCCGGGTGCTGTGGCTGTGCACCTGTAATCACAGCACTTTGCGCGGCTGAGGCAGGGGGATTGCTTGAGGCCAGGAGTTTGAGACCAGCCCAGGCCAGGAGTTTGAGACAGCAAGCCTGTCTTTACAAAAAGAATTTAAAAATATTATCCAGGCATGATGGTGTGCACCTATAGTCCCAGCTACTCTTGGAGGCTGGGGTGGAAGGACTGCTTGAGTCCAGGAGTTCAAGGCTGCAGTGAGCTATGATCATGCCACTGGACTCCAGTCTGGGTGACAGATGGACTCTAACATAGGGAGTTACCATTTTTTGTAATCTTGTTTCTGTCTGCCCAGCATCCACAACTTGGAGTAACTGTCCCTTTCTGTGGGACACTGGTGGGCTACCAACCAAAGGACCTCACTTCTCTGGCCACACGGGAGGAGGGCTCAGGACATCAGGTCAGCCAAGAGGCCACTGTCTCAGGATTTGCTACCTAAGTGAAGCACAGGGTAGGCTGATGGTGTTCAACTACTGAGACCCCCGCCCCAAGGCTACTCTGGCTTCTGTCCTTCTCAAAACATGGTGGAAGCCACTGAGTGTACATTTCCAAAATATTTCCCTCTTTCCCTTAACATGGGGCAGTATAGTTTCTGTTGCTTGCAACCCAGCCCTGGTATGCTACATATACTACACACGGACCCTTCACTTTCAAAGAATTATTGTTTAATGAAATACCCAGGACCCTCCTGACCAGGTGAAATAGATGCTTCAGGCTCCTGATGACCCGAGGCGGCAATGCTCTCACCTCAGTGCACTCTTCCTGTCTCATCTATACCCTCTGTAGAGTGCTGATACACAGGTGGACTGGGAAACAAGGGGATGGGGGCCCAGAGCACCCAGCACAGACGCGGGGAGCCAGCCTGGGTCCTCAGCAGCAGGTGGCGTGCCCAGTTCCAGGAAGCAGCCTCATGCACTCTGTAGGTTTGAAGTCTCCGTAGCCCAGCCTGGGTCCTCACTACCTCTGTCCTGTTGTTTGCAGACATTGGGTCTGCAAAGCAGCCAAGCAGGGCCCTGCAGGTGAATATCAACTTCAAAAGCCACCCTTCTCCTTTCCCCCCAACACCTTCCCACCCAGCCCACCCCTAGCTAAAAATGAGGAAAAGAGCCGAGCCTGAGGCCAGGCACGGTGGCTCATGCCTGTAATCCTAGCACTTTGGGAGGCCGAGGTGGGTGGATCACTTGAGGTCAGGAGTTCGAGACCAGCCTGGCCGACGTGGCAAACCCTGTCTGTAGTAAAAATAAAAAAATTAGATGAGCACGGTGAGACACACCCTGTAATCCCAGCTATTCCAGAGGCTGAGGTGGAAGAATTGTTTGAACCTAAGAGGCGGAGGTTGCAGTGAGCCGAGATCTCTCCACTGCACTATAGCCTGGGTGACAGAGTGAGACTCTGTCTCAATTAAAAAAAAAAAAAAAAAAAAATGCCGAGCCTGGGAGGCTGGGAGGGCAGCAGATTTCCTGCCCAGCTTTGGGGCCATGGACTCACACCTTGAGAAAACCAAGAGAGAGACCCAGCGAGCTGCACCCATCCCCTCTCCCACTCCTGGCTGCAGCCACTACTTAGCTGTGGCCCCCTGCTCAGCTGTGACCCAGCAGTGAGGTGCCACAAACCTGGGCACACGGAGCCCTCCCCATGCCGCCCAGCCAAGTTGTGAGTGGATGATGTTTCCAGTCTTACTCGAGAATTCAGATGTCAGCCCAGCCCCATCCCAAGAGGTTCAGGCTTCTGCTGTGGGATCTGTATCCGGCTCAGGCCCTCCCTGCTGGAAGAGTTGCCTGGGCCCAGGGAGGGCTCTCCTGAGCCACACACACTGGGACTGTGCCTTTCACTCTCGCCGACGATACAGGTAGGGGAGGGGGTGAGGAGCCAGTGACAGCTGCGCTCCAGAGGCCAAACGCTAGGCCACCCTTGGCCTTAAATCTCTTTCCTCCCAACGCAGTTACTGATACCACCAGCAAGCGCTGATGAGGGTGCGGAGCAACTGGAACTCGCGCAGAGCTTGGTGGTGGGAAAGTCAAATGACACAGACTCTCAGGAAGCAGGCCTGGGTGTTCTTTCTTTTTTAATTGTCTGTATAACAAAATTCACTGTTGTCACTGTTTTCCAGCATACAGTTCAGGGGCACTAAGGGCATTCAGGACGGCTCTCGTGACGGACTCACACCCACATGCACACCTGGTGCCCCAGCCTGCTCTGTCCACTGTCTCCATTTCCCCAGGGCTGCTTTTACTTTTCATTTTATTATTTTTGAGACAGGGTCTCACCCGGTTGCCCAGGCTGGAGTGCAGTGGCATGATCATGGCTCACTGCAGCCTCAACCTCCCGGGCTCAAGGGATCCTCCCACCTCGGCCTTCTGAGTAGCTGAAACCATAGGCGCCATCATCATGCCCAGGGCTGCTTTTAAAAACTGGCAAAGCCAGCAAGGCTAACTCGAGTGCCTGGGTCATGTTCTACAGCTGCTTGACCAGGAATCTTCCAGTGCCGTATGAAACCTCACAGGACCAAGAAAGAGAAGGGTTCCCTGCTCAGACCAGACACTTGCAGGGTGAAGGGAGGAGCCCCTCCCAGCAGACCCAGTTCTCCTCCGTGCAGTCCGGCCTCATTTCCTGCCCGACCTCTGGCCAAACCCCCTCCTGCTGCTCTGAGTGCCTGCTGTGCTCCCGAGGGCCCTCTCCGCCCTTCTGTAGCTTCTGAAACCCTGTCCACTCTGCAAGGGCCAGGGCGTGCCAGTTCCTCCCAGAAGCTCGCCAATGTTTCGGTCCTTTCCTGGAACCTCACAAGCACCCTGGGTGCCTCTCTGCCTTGCCTGCCCCTCCCTCCTTGGCATCCTGGACTCGTGGCTTCTCTGCCCATTTCCTATGGCACCCAGCAGGAGGCTGGGCAGAAGAGAGGGTCTGTGGGACGCCTGCCCTTGCCCTGGTCACAATGCCATCCAGGAGTCCCCACACTTGCAAAGTACGTTTGCACTGTGTGAAAAACTTAAAGCAGAAACGTAAGAACAAAAGTGGACACTTCTGAAAAGAATAAAACGTTTGCATAAAAGGCAGAAAGACAGGGATGTCAACAGTGGTTCTCTGGGTCATGATGGCGGCAGCTGCGTTCCTGCTGACGAGCACCCCTTCCCCGCACAGCCACGCTGGGCTGCGCCGCCTGTCAGCCTGTCTACAGGAGGCTGCAGAGTGGCCGTAAATGCCTTTGAGATAGCATCACAGTTATTGGTTAGGTCATCTCCTAGGGAGATGATACACAGTTTTCAATCCCGGCGAGTCTTTCTACCGCTTATAAAATAAAATTAAATGACAATGATTCAACTGTTGAACAAGCTTACAGAGTCATAAAAGACTATGACTTTCTATCTCACCCTTCCGTCTGGCGATCAAAGATCCCATGTAGAACTTCTACACGCGACTGAGGACCAGTACTGGGGCCTCCTTCCCACCTGAAACAGGGCGGGACTTCACCGCGAGGGGCTCTGAAAAGGAGATGCTGTAGGGTGCCACCCCTGAGTCCCACAGTTAGGGTTCTTTGTAGCCCAATGTCCCCAAGTCCCTCCAGCATGCCTGGGACTGAATGGTCCTGAGCGGCTGGGGTGATTTTCCTGAGGAGGTGGCACTCATCTCACACACACAGGACAGAACCATGGCCTCCTGGTATGTTTCTTGGTGGCAGCAGGGGGCAGGGGCTCTACCTTAAATCAAAGCCAGGGCTCTCATTACCTGGGTGGGAGGCTGTGTGGCTCCAGAATAAATTACCTTCCCAGACCAGGCGCGGTGGCTCATACCTATAATCCCAACACTTTGGGAGGCCCAGCAGGAGTATTGCTTGAAGCTAGAAGTTTAAGACCAGCTTGGGCAACATAGCAAGACCCCATCTCTAAAAAAAAAAAAAAAAAAAAAATTTTTTTTTGAGACAAAGTCTCACTCTTGTTGCCCAGGCTGGGGTGCAATGGTGTGATCTTGTTTTACTGCATCCTCCGCCTTCCAGGTTCAAGCAATTCTCCCGCCTCAGCCTCCCAAGTAGCTGGGATTACAGGCACCCACCACCACACCCAGCTAATTTTTGTATTTTTAGTAGAGACAGGGTTTCACCACTGTTGGCCAGGCTGGTCTCCAACTCCGGCCTCAGGTGATCCGCCTGCCTCGACCTCCCAAAGTGCTGGGATTACAGGAGTGGCCACCATGCCTGTCCTACAAAAATTTTTTTTACAAAATTAGCCAGGCATGTTAGTGTATGACCGTCATCTCACCTATCAGGAGGCTGAGATGGGAGGATCGCTTGAGCCTGGAGGCCAAGGCTCTGGTGATTGCACCACTGCATTCCAGCCTGGGTAACAGAGTGAGACCCTGTCTCAAAACAAACAAACAAAATAACAACTAAACAAAAGAGAATAAAGTACCTGCCTAGGAGGATAGAGAAGGGCTAGGGGAGAAGGCAGAAAAGGTTTGTACAACTTAGAGGGCATGAACAGTAGCATCTTGTTTTGTTTTTTTTTTTTACCAAACAAGCAAAGGCCACCAGAGCTCATGCACAGCTATCATCAGGCGCTACCATGGCCTGGCTCCTTGGGTGACACGTCCCCATCTGACACATGGCCCGAGGACCAGCTGCCCGCCCGATCCCTCCAGCGCTTCCCAGCTGCAGATCTCGGAGCTGGAAGGCAGGCCCGCTCAGCAGGCCGCCTACTCACCAGAGCAGTGGGTGTCACAGAGCTCGTCTCAGTGGCAATGTGGCCAGAGAACATGCCCTGGCTAAACCATACTTCAGCAGCACATTATTAAAATAAAGCACAATGGGCCAGGTGCAGTGGCTCACACATGTCATTCCAGCACTTTGGGAGGCCAAGGCAGGAGGACAGCTTGAGGCCAGGAGTTCAAGACCAGCTTGAGCAACATAGCAAGACTTCATCTCAACAAAAAAGAAGAAAATTAGCTGGGCCTGGCGGTGCACACCTGAGTCCCAGCTACTCAGGAGGCTGAAGCAGAAGGATCTCAAACGTGTCTGAGGCTGCCATGAGCTATGATTGTACCACTGTACTCCAGCCTGGGCAACAGCGTGAGACCCGAGCTCTAAAAAAATAAAAATAAAATAAAAATAAAAATTTAAAAATAAAGCAAAATGTTATCCGTGGATTAAACTATGAGACCATTTATTTCTTCCCTGCCCCGCAGCGCTCAGTGGGCTTACGCACCTCTGGCTGCCACCGTGGGCTGCCCTCCAGGGAAGGCCTGTGTGAGGCAGACCTTCAGGCCAGAGGAGCCTACACCACGGGCTCCCGCAGACTCTGGCGGGTGGGGGCAGGAGTCTTCAGGTCACAGGAGCGGACATCACAGCCATCCAGCAGGTCTGCCTGAGAGACGCCATTGAGGTTGGGGGCCACCAGAGCTCTAGGGGTGTCCCGCACGCCTGTCCTCGCGAGTGTGTCCTGGAGAAGTTCTCGGATTCTTCGGTTTTCCCTGAAGGTAGATTCCCAAATAACTTCAAGTTCACCTTCCATTTCTCTGAAGGAAATACATTTAAAATGGCACAATTTTAAAAACAGTATAGAGCCCATATAAATCCCAAAGTAGGAAGAACTCAAAACAGAAGAACGCTAATGGCAGGGGACAGAGCCCTGGGTGCCTGGGTTCTGAAGCAAGAGCTCAGTGTGGAACGAAGCGGCCGGTGCCCTGGGAACAGGGAGCAGCAGGACGGCACAGGCTGGGGCTCAGTGTGGAATGAAGCGGCTGGTACCCTGGGAATGGGGAGCAGCAGGACAGCACAGGCTGGGGCTCAGTGTGGAATGAAGCGGCTGGTGCCCTGGGAATGGGGAGCAGCAGGACAGCACAGGCTGGGGCTCAGTGTGGAACGAAGCGGCCGGTGCCCTGAACAGGGAGCAGCAGGACAGCTCAGGCTACACAGGCATTTCTCTTCCCTCTACGTTCTGCCCTTGACTTTGGCATCAGTGCAATCCCTGTTTTCTCTCAATAATGAACTTGGGTATGTCAAATAAGGAACTGTAGGAACTGCAGGGCTGGCTGTGGCCAGCCAGATGCTCTAGCACGATGGCCTGGCCGCAGGCACCCACACAGCCCCTCCCGTGTCCCCTCTGCTTGTCCACTGTGACCTGGCCAGCACTCAGCGACCTTCCACAGGTCTTGCGCTCCACACAGCCCAGAGCTAAGAGCGAGTCAGGGGGTGAGGAGGGGACCTGAGGAGATAGACTCATTGCCAGGATGGAGAAGACTGGCCTGGCGCATGTGCCGGGATGGGGAGGCCCTGAGGGGCCCAGGCTTGTGAGGCTGGAAAGAGCCACAGGGCAGCGTTTCCAGAACCAGCATGCAGCGTCCTGTGGTGTGCTGGGGAGACAGGACAGATGAAGGTGGCCACGTCCCCACAGGGCCACAGTCCACTGGGAACAGACCAGGATACCAGCCACACCTCACAAGGTGCTGAGCCCCACTGGGGAGCATGGCCAAGCTGGAGAGGCCAGCTGCTTCCTGTACACTGCCAGATGGTTCTGGAAAATGTTGGAAACTGGATTCGCAGGTGGACTTCGCACCACAGTTTAAAGGGCAGGACAGTGAAGTTCAGGGAGGTCAGTGATGTGCCCACTTGGCCAGAGTCACTTTTCTCGTGAACGTTCCTTCCTTCCAAGGCCCCTGATGCCCACTGTGTGGTGAGAACAACTTAATTAAACTATGTCTAAAAAAGCCCCAGCCTGGGCAACATGTGAGGCCTCATCTCTACAAAAAACTTAAAAATTAGCTGGGCCCACATGGTGGCATGCACCTGTATTCCCAGCTACTCGGGAGGCTGAGGCAGAAGGATCACTTGAGCCCAGAAATTTGAGGCTGCAATGAGCTGAGATGGTGCCACAGTACTTTAGCCCGGGAAACAGAGCAAGACCTTGTATTTTAATTAAAAAAAAAAAAAAAAAAAAAAATCCCCAGACTGGTTTTCTGAAGATACTTGGTAAATTAAAACAATCATGTTTAAATGTATAGTTGAACTTGAAAGAAAGAATAGGCAGTCTCTAAGGTCAGAAAAAATGAAGCCTAAACTGAAACCAAAGAGGCAGACAAAGTATCAGTTGCTTTGAGGACAAAAGTCCATGCCAAACCCTGGATGTTTGTAGACTGACAGATCATGCAGATCAAGAGTGACAGAAAATCTCAGGGCCTACTCTTGTCCAAGTTTCTCTTCCTACTAGAGGCGCTGTGAAGGTAGGTAAGTGGAGGATGTAAAGGACCCTCAAAGAAAGGAGGGCTGGGAGGGAGACCTGCAGATCTTCAAAGGAAACCTGTTTTGAAAGGCCAGGCATCTCCTGGGGACCAGAGCCACCGGCCCGCTCTCAAACGGGTCTGGAGTGTGAGTCTACACTGTTTGCCGTGAGTGGGGATCCCCGGGCCCTGACTGCAGTGAATGAAGAGTTTTAAAAAGTTGGGCACAGTGGCTCATGCTTGTAATCCCTGCTACTTGGGAAACTAAGGCAGAAGGATGGCTTGAGCCCAGGAGTTTGAGGCTGCAGTAAGCTATGATCACACCACTGCACTCCAGTCTGGGCAACAGGGTCAGACCCTGTCTGTAAGTAGTAGTAGTAGTAATAATAATAATAGCAATAACAGAAATAAAATACCTAATCAAAAATTAACAAAATCTCTCAAGAAAATGAAACAAAACTGGCTCATGCCTGTAATCCCAGCTATACTAGGAGGCTGAGGTGGGAGAACCGCTTGTATCCGGGAGGTAGAGGTTGCAGTGAGCCGAGATCGTGCCACTGCACTCCAGCCTGGGCGACAGGAAAATGCTGTCTCAAAAAAATAAAATAAAAAGAAAATGAGACAAAATAAAAATATCAGCGAGATGGAAGGCAGCAGAAAAAAAGAGAAAGGCAATTAGAGGTGTGCATTGATTCCGGAAGTCCAATTCAAACAAGAGGAATTTTTAAAAGAATAAAGAAAACGAAGAGCAAATAAAACTCAAGACCAATATGACATTCAGATAAGAGTAAAATGTAGAAACAAAATTAAACAACGGAACAAATGAAACAGGCCCAGAGGGTTTTAGCAGAATCCTCAATCAAACATTCAGACATCCCCGCGGGCCATGGCGCAGGGCGGACACCCACCTGTTCTGCTGCAGCGCCTGGTCCAGCACCTCCTGCTTGTCCTTCAGCACCTGGTGCAGGTGCCGCATCTCCTGCCGGTACTGGGCTGTCTTGCCAGCGAAGTCCTCCTGCTGCTCCAGCAGACGGTGACTGATGTCCCCCAGCTTCAGTGCTGCCTGCTTCTTGTAGCCCTGGTCGGCAGAAGGACTCTGTGAGTGAGGGGCCGCTGCCAGGCCAGGGTGGACGGTGCCTCCTGGCTGCGCTCCCTACCCACTCCTTGTATGTCAGGGCCTTTTAAATCTGGTATCCCAGATAAGTTTGATCTGGGAGGGCAAGTCTGGATGATAAAAGTCATAAAAAGTGATAAAAGAATTTCAGGTACAATAAAACCAAATTTTAATGTATATAAATCCTGTTTCTTTATATGCTATAAATAATGAAAACATAAAATATCACCTTTGGACACAGTGGTTCATGCTTGTAATCTCAGCACTATTAGAGGCTGAGGCAGGCAGATCACTTGAGGTCAGGCGTTCGAGACCAGCCTGGCCAACATGGTGAAACCCTGTCTTTATTAAAAATACAAAAATTAGCCAGGAGTGGTGGCACATGCCTGTAGTCCCAGTTACTTGTGAGGCAGAGGTGGGAGGATAACCTGAACCCAGGAGGCGGAGGCTGCAGTGAGTGTGATGGAGCCACTGCACTGTCTAGCCTGGGCCACACAGGGAGACCCTGTCTCAAAAAAAAAAAAAAAAAAAATCACCATCACAGAACAAACTGGATGTTCTTGCAAATTAATCTACAACTGTATTTTTTCCAGGACAACTTTTATCCCTGCATCAACTGGTAGCCTAAGAACTAATGCTGCCACTGCTCAGCACCCTTTTACCTTGACAAGAAAGCCTCATCGAAGAATCCAACAAGGGCTGTCAGTCTCTGTCGCCAGACAGACAGCTGAGATGAAAGCCCGTCATTTACTTTCCTTCTTTCACCTTTACTGTATAGTACTGAAGGTTCTCAATTGTCCTGTGAGCATTTCTAAAATTCTTGTCACAGAGAGTCTGACAGGTAGTTCCATAGACTCGTTTTTTATAAGAAACTCTGACACTCAGTTTATACATCCTCTCTGACCCAAGAATTAGTGCTGTTTTTACACTTCCAAGTGAAATAACTTTCTTTGTTTTCTGCTTTTACTTATTAATTTCTGGTTTTCATATTTGTGATTAACAAATGCTGGCTAGGTGGGATGGTTCACGCCTGTAATCCCAGCACTTTGGGAAGTTGAGGCGGGTGGATCACCTGAGGTCAGGAGTTTGAGACCAGCCTGGCCAACATGGTGAAACCCCGTCTCTACTAAAAATACAAAAATTAGCTGGGCGTGGTGGCGCATCTGTAATTCTAGCCACTCAGGAGGCTGAGGCAGGAGAATTGCTTGAACCTGGGAGGCAGAGGTTGCGGTGAGCCAAGATCGCACCACTGCACTCCAGCCTGGGCGACAAAGTGAGACTCCGTCTCAAAACAAACAAACAAAAAACAAGTGCCTACATTATTTCTACTTTAGGGATTTACTGAGGCTTTCTTTCTGGTCAAGCAATGATCAATTTTTGTGTCTTTTATATATATGTAAATATACCCTGTTGATTATGTTGTTAAATCTTCTATTTTCTCATTTTGTTTAACATCTTGATCGGTCTTGGATTAAGAGAGGTGGATTATAGCTCCTATTACCAAGTTTCCATTTTTCTTTGTATTTCCTGTAGTCTACACTCATAAATTTGCTGCTATGTTATTTAGTGCATAGATATTCACAATTACTATAGATGATGATGATGTAGACAGGGTCTCACTATGTTGCCCAGGCTGGAGTCCTGTGGCTATTAACAGACCTGATCATGGTGCACTACAGCCTCGAAGTCCTAGACTCAATTCAAATGATCCTCCTGCTCAGCCTCCTCTGCAGGGACCCACACACCCAGCTCATACTATATATTATTAACTATAGTCTTTTAGTATTATAAAAATCTGCCCTTTTTTTTTTTTTTTGGTGTCATTTAGTGCTTTTGGTCTGAATTCTATCTTGGCATATGTCAAGATTTCAACCTTTGCTTTCTTTGTGTTTGCAGAAATCTGGGTTATCTCTACCCATCCTTTCAATTTAAATCCTTCACGAACACTTTGTTTTAGGCTGTCTCTTGGGTCTAGTGTGGAATAGCATTTTGCTTTATGAGTCAATCCAAAAAAATGTTGTTTTCCCTAATGGGTGAATTAAGCTAATTTACATTTACCTATAGGACAGATTTGTTTGGTCTCAATTTTGTTATTTTATGTTTGGCTGTTTTATCTACATATTTTTAAAAGATTTTAAACTAATGTAGTCTTTTTCTTTGCTTTTTTGCTGTTATAATTCTACCATTAAAACAAATTTTTTTAGAAACAGGGTCCTGCTCCATGCTCTGCCCCTCAGGCTGGAGTACACTGGTGCGATCATAGCTCACTACAGCCTTAAACTCCTGAGCTCAAGATCCTCCCGCAGAGTTGGGACTACAGGCGCTGGCCATCAAGCCCAGCTAATTTTAAACATTTTTTTAGAGATGGGGTCTCTATGTTGCCCAGGCTGATCTTGAACTCCTGGTCTCAAGTGATCTTCCTACTTCAGCCTCCTGAGGAGCTGGGATTACAGGCATGTGCCACTCTGCCCAACTCTGATTCCACTATTTAGGAATAAAGCTCGATTCTTGTAGTTGGCTTTATTCTTTTTTTTTGAGACAGAGTCTCGCTCTGTCCCCCAGGCTGAAGTACAGTGGCCCAGTCTCAGCTCACTGCAAGCTCCGCCTCTGCCATTCTCCTGCCTCAGCCTCCCGAGTAGCTGGGACTACAGGCGCTTGCCATCACTCCCGGCTAATTTTTTGTACTTTTAGTAGAGACGGGGTTTCACCATGTTGGCCAGGATGGTCTTGATCTCCTGATCTCGTGATCCGCCCACCTCGACCTCCCAAAGTGGGTTGGTTTTATTCTTACACCTTTATATGATATGTTCTTAGTCCCCTCTTTTTAGATTGTATCCATTGGTTCCCTAACAAAAGTAACAATACATTAGCTCATAACAACATTTTCTTCACTTTTCCCCTCCTGTTCACCTGCTAGCTCGTACCACTTGGTTTTTCAGCTTTAATGATATCCCTTGACTCTTATTACCTATGAAGAAATCAGCAAGTGTAATCTACTTTCTACCTTCCTTCGCCCTTAGCCCATCATTGTTTCCTTGGTTGTATTATTACTACATTGTCAGAAAACATTTACATACAATTCTATCAGCATCAATCCTTATCCCTGCTGTAAAAATGGATTCTTTGCTCACTACAAGTTAATTTTGCTGAAGTTTCCCCAATTACTTCTTGGTTGGCAGGACTCATTGTTGAGACACGGTCTTGCTCTGTTGCCCAGGCTAGAGTGCAGAGGCACGAACATAGCTCACTGCAGCCTCAAACTCCTGGGCTCAATCAATCCTTCCACCTCAGCCTCCCGAGTAGCTGGGACTACAGGCATGTACCACCAAGCCTGGCTAATTGCCGTATTTTTTGTAGAGACTGGGGTCTCCCTATGTTGCCCAGGCTGGTCTCAAACTCTGGACTCAAGGGATCTGCCTGCCTTGGCCTCCCAAAGGGCTTGGATTACAGGCATGAGCCACTGCGCCTGGCCGTTTCATCTTAAAGCCGTATGTCTTGGTGTCAATTTTCTGGGTCCATTCTGTGTCAGTTTTCCCTAGGTACATAATGTGCCCTTTCAGGACGTAGATTCAAGTCTTTTATTTCAGAAAGGTTTTTATGAGTTACAGTTTAGAGCAGAATAAGCCACTGTTTTGGTTTCTTCTTTGGAGGCTCTACAAGTAGATCTCTTAGATCTCCATCACTTTCCACCGAATCCTTTGCACATCTCCATTCCCGCCTTCCTGTCTGTCTCGTTTCTAGCTGCATATCCCTTATTGCTCTGTTACGGCGTCTGTCTCCACAGAATTCAGTCTGCATTTCTTAAACGGCTTCTCTTTCCCTTCTATTTCTTCCCTGGGTCATGTCAGTTCCATCCCACGCCCTCCTGGGCCTGGCTGCCTCTTCCTGAGGTCCTGCGTCTCTGCTCTGTGACATGTCTTCCTGGCTCTGACTGCCTCCTGAAGTCCTGTCTCTGCAGCTGTGCCCAGCTCTCTAGCCAGCTACCTAGCAGTTCACTTTGGAGTATCATTTTGATCTTTGCGGCAACACTTTTCCTGATAAGTTTTCGGCAGTTTTCGTCAATGGGAAGTTATGCCTCTATTTTTCTTCCTTTTCCTTAAACTGTTTTTATACGGAGGACTCTGAATTCCTCTGGGATGAGAGGAGGTTCCTGGGAGGGTGGGAGCGACAGTTGGGCCAGGGTGTCCTTCCAGGCTTCCCATGTTCCCCCCACCCTCCACCTTGCAGCCCTGTCTCCCACTCGCTGAATTCAGCCTGGTTCGGAGGGGCTTCTGCCTGCATCCCTCCGTTCCCAGATCTCGTCACAGCCCCGGACTTCCAAGGTGATGTCTGCCCTTTGAAGAGTGATATTTTGCAGGGATTTCCTGAGATGTCACCTCTGGATTTCTCAAGCGTTTTCTCTTCACTCCCGCCGAGTTCCTGGCCTGTCTACCTTGGGGCCTGCTCACAGGTGTCTCCTCTGGGTGAGCCGGTTTTACTATTCCTGTTCAGATAAATGGTAACGCTACGGATTCCCCAAGCAAGGCCAACTACTCCGAGGATCACTCCTTCTCTTTTGCAAGTAAAAAGCAGGAAAATTAGAAAAAAAGAAAGAAAAAGAAAAAACCCCACAACGGGGATTTTAAAGTACTCAATACTTCTATGCTGAGTCCCTTCATCAACAGCATGGCATATCCCCTTCCCTTTCAGCCTTTATTTTTTCCCCTTAAAGAGACAGGGTCCCTGCTAGGTGAGGTGGCTCATGTCTGTAATCCCAGCACTTTGGGAGGCGGAGTCAGGCAGATCACTTAAGCTCAGAAGTTCAAGACCACCCTGGGCAACATAGCAAGACCTCATCTCTAAACAAACAAACAAACAAAAATACAAAAAAAAAAAAAAAAAAAAAAAGAATAGCCAGACACCATGGTGCTTGCCTGTAGCCCCAGCAACTTGAGAGGCTGAGGCAGGAGAATCCATTGAGCCCAGGAGTTCAAGGCTGCAGTGAGCCATCGTCATGTCGCTCACTGCACTCCAGTCTGGATGACAGAGTGAGATCCTGTCTCTCCTTTTATCGGTGTTTTTGTTTGTTTGTTTTTGAGACAGGGTCTCACTCTGTCAGCCAGGCTGGAGTATAGTGGTGTGACCTCGGCTCACTGCAGCCTTGAACTCCTGGGCTCAATTAAGCTGAGACTACAGGCAAGCACCACCATGTCTGGCTAACTTTTTAAATTTTTTATAGAGATTGGGGTCTTGCTATGTTACCCAGACTAGTCTCAAACTCCTGACCTCAAGTGATCCTCCTGGCTAGGCCTCCTGAGTCACTGAGATTACAGCATTAGCCACTGGGCTTTGTTTCATATCCTTTATTCTTAAACAGCTGTGCAGTATTTTATTGTGTGAATGAACCAAAGTTTATTGAATGAGGTGAGAGGTGCCATTCTGTCAGCAAAACTTTGCAATACTTTTACTCTGTGGACTGTTACTGACGCACGTGCAAAAGGTGTCATTTTCTTAAACACAAAAATCCACAGCAGTGAACCTGCATTTCCATCTGAAAATGAAATCTCCGAGGCCAAATAACCACTTACCTTGACTTTTTCCTCCAGCTTTCCCAGGCGAATGTGGCTTTTGATGACTTTGTTGAGCACTCCATCCTTCTCACTTTCTAAACATTTTGCCTAAGGAGAAGGGTGATAAATGGGATCTCAGTTTTACAGAAACATTGAAATAACAAATAATTATCTTGCAAAGAGTGTTACTGCTACTGCTCACAAGTAATCTTCATTCTGCCACCTGTCCTGCCTCAACCCTTTCCCCGCCCACTGTGGGAGGGCCGGGGCCTCAGGCCAACAGGTGAGGATGGGCAGGAACAGGGCATGGGGGGTGCCCTGCTGGGTATAAAAAGAGAAGAATTCCAGCCCCACAGACCAGGGGAGTGGGAGGGGCTGCAAAGGTTTGCAGAACGCATCTCTACTCTTATAGAATCTATCTTTCCTCCAATCGCATCCAAAGAATAAGTGCCAAGATGCCAATCAACTCAAAACTTGACTCATTAGAACAATTCCAAAATTAAGGATAATGTAATATGAATGCACAAGGCCGTTTCTCCAAGCCATACATGAAAAGCAATACATCCAGGAGGGATGACATCATTTGAAGTCAAATGATTTTTAAACTAATATCCAGATTGGACATGACCTGCTAGATTCTATAAATTAACTATTTCAGATGCTAAAGTAAAATAAGTAATGCTGAGCATTCTTTCCAAGGTAGGCTAGTGGTGACAAGTTTGATTTTCCAGAAGGAAAGCTAAGTCACAGAGTAATTGCTCCAGGTCACATGGAAAATCCACCCTAGAAGCAGGATTTTAAAAGATCTCAGGCCAGGCTTGGTGGTGTGCGCCTGTAGTCTCAGCTGCTTGAGAGGCTGAGGCACGAGAATGGCTTGAACCCAGGAGGCGAAGGTTGCAGTGAGCTGAGATCGCGTCACCGCACTCCAGCCTGGGCAACATAGCAAGACTCTGTCTCAAAAAAAAAAAAAATTCTCAGTATCTAAGACTATCGTGTCTCCCACAAAAATGTGATAAATGCAAGATGGTGCAGTCATACTTGGGGAAACTGAAAGTGATCTTTTTTTTTTTTGCTTTTTGTTTTTGTTTTTGTTTTTGTTTTTTGAGACAAAGTCTCAATCTGTTGCCCAGCCTGGAAGTGCAGTGGTGCGATCTCAGCTCACTGCAACCTCTGCCTCCTGGGCTCAAGAGATTCTCCTGCCTCAACTCAACCTCCCGAGTAGCTGGGACTACAGGCACGCGCCACCATGCCCAGCTAATTTGGGGAAACTGAAAGTGATTTGTAGCCAGAGGACATCAGCAGAAACTTCCCAAGGCAGAGTGGAGTCCTCCCACTGCCGGTGTATGTACAGGGTGGGGTTCAGGCTCTCACGAGGTCCTGGAGACCAGGACGGGGTTGGGCAGGAGTACATGGGGGCTCAGTCCTAGAACAGGGCAGAGACTGGCAGAGCAGCTAGTAACACCCCTGGACCTGGCTAGAGGGGCTGGCCTAGGCACTCCCAGGGTCAAGGGGCCTGCAAAGCCGTAGGGATGTGTCCGCCCCAGACATGGCTACACAAGACCAAGCGCTCTGCCCAGATGTCCTGGCAGCTACCATGCATCTCCCTGCGTGGACAGCGGGTGTCTGTTTGGACAGAAAAGTCCGTGGTGACAGGTGAAGCCAGGATGGAAGAAAGCAGCTCTCCCACACCCTACATTTCCAGTTTGACTCTGCGGGGCCTGAGGACTCTAAACTTGACAGCCAGGCCATGATAAAGGTCAAGGCAGGAGAAGGGAACACAATTTACTAACAGTCTGTTGGCTCAACGAGTAACTTCTAAGTATCTGGAGACAGTAAGTGGCCTCCATTTGTATTTCCATCCTGAGCCCACAAATATTGTGGGCCGAAAGGGGAGTGTCTGAGGGTCTGGGAGGATCCTGACTTCATCACGGAAGCCTGTGATACTCCTTGGCCCATGTGAGAGGCATGGGGCCTGCACCCCAGGGACCGGGATTCCCTGCATGTCCTGCCCTGCAAACAAGATGGCTTCGCATTTACAGTGGCCTCAAGACATGTGGCGGGCAGGTTCCCAGGAAATCTGGAGGTGAAAGGGTTTGTTCAGCCCTTTAGATTTTTCAGCACGTTTTCTCTCGCCCTCTCCATGTCCCGGTGAGGAAGGCCAGCACACACAGCAGAAGGGAAAATGGGCACTCAGAGAGTATCAGGGTTCAGCTGCCTTTCAGAGGGGCAGCACTGGGCCAGACACCTTGAGTGCCGTCAAGGCTCCATCCATGCTGCGTCAAAGTCAAACTGCTTTCTGGAAGGCTCTGGAAAGGACTCAGAAGTCACCAGTAAAATATGGCCAGACTGACCACACGCTTATCAGCAATTACTGTAATTTAAAAAACTGTTTTCAGCTGGGCGCGGTAGCTCACACCTGCAATCCCAGAACTTTGGGAGGCTGAGGCGCACAAGGTCAGGAGAACGACCATCCTGGCTAACACGGTGAAATCCCATCTCTACTTAAAATACAAAAAATTAGCCGGGCGTGGTGGCACATGCCTATAGTCCCAGCTACTCAGAAGGCTGAGGCAGGAGAATCGCTTGAACTCAGGAGGTGGAGGTTGCAGTGAGCCAAGATCGTGCCACTGCACTCCAGCCTGGGTGACAGAGCGAGACTCCATTTCAAAAAAAAACAAACCTGTTTTCAGGAGGGAAGCTCAGGGTGGCTGGCTGGAGGCACAGGATGTTGGACTCCTCCACACAGGAGAACCAAAACAGGAGTCAGTCATCACACAGAGGACATCTAACAGAGACCATGGGAACTCGACAGGGGAGGGCTGGGCAGCACCCGCGCACTGAAGGAGAGGGAGATGACAGCCCAGATGGGATGGGTCTTGGTCGGGAGCCTGGAGAGGCTTCCCTGTGCGGGGAAAAGGGTGAAAGATCCCCAGGGGTCCACATTCTCACTGCACACTCCTGTGATCCCAGCCCCAGGGGAGCCCCTCAACCCCTGCAGGCCCTGAGACTGGTGCAGGGTGCCCCCTGGAGTCTGTGTGACCCCACTGCTCCAGAGAGGGGGCTCACGCTGGGTCCCACACTGACCCAGGCTCCGGGCAGCTGCAGCACAGTGGCATCATTTTGAGAGTCCGGCCCCCACCAGACTGCATCCTGTCCCGGGACCCAGCAGCCCCGGCATCTCCGCATCCCTGGGGCGCCACGGACATCCCCCCACATGTACCCGGAGGGCTGCAGCGGCAAGGTACCAGGTGGACCCAGGGAGGCAGCAGGTCCCCAGCACTCTACCCTACAGTGTCCTGCATACCCAGGAGAGTGTGATACAGTGCACTGAAGAGGCTGCCCATGGGAGCAAGGGAGCTGAAGCAAGTGCTCCCCGATCCTGAAACCTGCCTGCCTGGGGCCCCTGTCACTAACAGCAACCCCACCCACTCCAGCCACAGAGCCCTGCGCATGTGCATGTGCCCTGAGGACAGGCTTCCCCTGCCCAATGCCTCCGTTGCCAAAGCAACCCAAGCACAGCACCTGGGGCCTGGGGATCACCCCATCCTCTTCACCACAGCGTGCGGGGACTGTCCCACCATGTTGGTTGCCCCAGGCATGCGCACACACACACACACACACACACACACACACACACACACACACACACTGGCAGAGGGCCTAATAATGACCCCAGAATGCCTTCCGGAGGCCTAGGGCTTGTCCCACCTCACCCACCACAGCCTATGCCTATGGACACCATTGAGGAAACTGAGAACAGGCCCACCTTGCCTGGCACTGCTCCCATAGTGCCCAAGCATGCCATCTGGGGGTCTGGGGATGTCTTCAGATTGTCAATCAGCCCGGGTGCACATGCACATAACCAGGGGCCCAGAAACAGGCCCTGAAAAACTGCTGCTGGTACCCAAACACACTGTCCAGAGGTCTGGGGATTGCCCTGCTCCATTGACCACCTCCGGCATCTGAGCCTTCCTCCTGGGGGCCTGAGGACGGGTCCACCCACCACCACCACCAGCATCCCTGGTATCCACCTGCACATGCTACCTGGGGGCCTGCTTAGCTCACTGCAGCCACTACTAACAATAGTGAGTGCCACCTGGAAGCCCAAGGTAGTACTGTGCACTGAAGGAGAGGGAGATGACAGCCCAGACAGGATGGGTCTTGGTCGGGAGCCTGGAGAGGCTTCCCCGTGCGGGGAAAGGGTGAAAGATCCCCAGGGGTCCACATTCTCACTGCACACTCCTGTGATCCCAGCCCCAGGGGAGCCCCTCAACCCCTGCAGGCCCTAAGACTGGTGCAGGGTGCTCCCTGGAGTCTGTGTGACCCCACTCACACTATACATCCTGCATCCACAAATACCATCCACTATACATCCACAAATACCATCACTCACACTATACATCCTGCTCAGGGGCCCAAGGAATTGCCCACCCACTGGGCATATAGCTGCCACTAAGGCACCCAAGCAAGCCACTTGGAGGCCCAAGAATCGACGTGCCTGGACCTGCTAACATTGGTGCCTGTATATACTACCCACAGGCTCATGACAGGTGTGCTTGGCTCACCCCCCAAGAGGACTGGTCCAATTGGAGTCCCATCCCCAGCAAAACCTCACCACAGCCTCTACTAACAACTGCAGACTAAGCCACTGAGGACATCACAGACACCACTGACACTGTTTCCAGCTGAGGTAATCATATGAAGACATGTATGCACACATCCAGAATCAAAGCTAATGTGGCTTAGCCAACCAACACCATAGATACATCTATAGGAAAAGGCTTCCCCTATGAAAGCCAATACAAAAAATCAGAAGAAGTGACTGTTACACTTGATTTGCAGAAATCAATGAAAGGACATAAGAAACATGAAACAGCAAGGCAATATGAAACCTCCAAAGGAATATAATAATTCTCCAACAACAGATTTCAACAACAACAACAAAAAACTTATGAAATGCCTGAAGGAGAATTAAAAATAATGATATTAAAGAAGCTCACTGAAATACAACAGAACACAAATAAACACTATAAAGAAACCAGAAAAACAATTTAGGATATAAATGAGGATTTCACCAAAGAGATAGATATAGAAAAGAACTAAACAGA